CTAAGAGGAAAAAGAACTCATGAATCTTTAGGTGCAGCAAATGCATTGCCAGAATAGACAGCCTTATAACAAGGACTAACAACTTCTGCTAGGGTTTGTAACCTGTGCGTGGAAAATCTGATTCAAAGTAAGCAATGTAAACCTGTGAACTTTTAATGATCTCAAAAGACAGAAAAATTATGGACAAACTTGATGATTTGGGCAGCAACCCAAACAGGCCTCACATCAGACCCATCCTACATACTGAAAATTAGGGTTCATAATCATTCACTCCAACTTAATATTACAAAATCATTTGGACAAAATATTCCAAAACTGATGTTGAGAAAATAAGATCTACATAGATACATATCTTTTTTAACTAAAGAAATCACATTATGCTATAGGTATGGCCCTACTCTCTGCTGAACTTAATACTGGTGGCAAGAGCGGCAAACGGAGAACTTTGCACATCAGCAGCATTACTTACTGCCACTGCAGCATCCTGCTGCACTGCTGCACCCACTGCAGGCCCCCAGAAACTGCACAGAGTTACAGGCACAAGCTGAACATTATGTGTAAGCAGTATCTGCAACAAAGCAAAGCCAAAGGCTGCCGCAGAAAGCAGAAATGAGCAGTGGAGCTGGTTACTCAGATGCACACACACTGTACTTTTACCTTTGTGGCAAAGGACTGAGAAGGACTAACACAAACTTGAGGGACTGACAGGGAAACTTCAGTTTTCCCAGGAACAGCTTATGGAGGGGTTTTCCCACAGCCGGCTCCTGGGCCAAGCGCTGTGAGGACGGAGGCTCTGCCAGCGGCGGCACGGACCGCCCCCCCCACAGCGGGCACGGCGCCGCGTGCTGCAGCCTTCACCGGGCTGGCACCTGGCTTCGCTGGGGACAAGCGGATAGCAGAGGATAGGCTCTCAGCCAGGAGCTTCCTGCTGGCAGCAAGCCGTGCTGCAGCTAGCCCAGAGACAGGGCTGCTGGTCACAGCTGCTGAAAGAAGGCTGGGATGGAGGGGAACTTCCAGGGGGAACCTAGAAACCAAGAAGTGGGTTTTGTATTAGATACCAAGGCAGACGCGAAGCTCTCTGAGCCGAGGCACTGGTTCCTGTTTCTGGGTATGACTAAGCTGCCAGGCACTGGAGCCCACGGCTGCAGTCATACCTTGCTCCTGTTTCTTAGCCTCCTGAAGTTCAGTCAGCCAGGGGTGGCAACGTATCTGCTTTACGCAGAGCTGCCTGCACACCTCTGGGAAGGCAGGAATGGGGAGCAGCAAGTGCAGAGCCCAGGGAGGGTGCTTTCAGTCTCCTCCCTGCCAGCACACATGGGAGCAGCTCCAGTCAGAGGCAGCCAACGCGTACAGCTGGCTCGGCCTGAAATACAAGCAGCTGCATGACCTCACCAGCACTCAGCCCACAGAAGTGGGCACCCAATGCCAGGTGTGCTGAAATGATGCAGGGAGGGAATGGATGGAGGTAAAGAAGAGGGCAGGGATGCAGGCCCTGTGCTACTGCTTGCCAGCTGGCTGCACTAACGCTTTTTTTTTCCTCCTCACAAATCTTTACAATTAAGCAAGTCAGTGATTTTGTTCTGATGGCAATAGAAAAGCACATACGTACAGTCAGTCAAGAGCAAATTTAACAAACTGCTGCACATTTCTTCTGCTTACTTTAGTTTTGCCGCTTACCAGACCTTATGCTGACATGCAATGAATGGCGTACCGAGCTGCTCAGGTAGCCAGCATCACTTAAAGCCCACAGCTCTAAAACCAAACTCTCTGCTCAACCTCCCAAAGAAAATTTTCTAACTTTCAAGGAGTTGTAAATAAGAGATGCAAGAAGATTAATTAGATGTGATGGTATTGAATTTCTTCAAATAGTGAGGCAACCCAAAGCCTTACTCATTAGAAAACCCACAGTTGTTCTCTACCCATCTGGCAGTGAAATCTACCGTGCAGACAACTACTTCATTTCTCATCTGAGGCCATCGCAGTCAGGCACGTAAACCAGTCTGTCAACAATGGCAGCAGAACGTTACCTCATCAGTGAAACAGCATGTGCTTAACCTACATTTGCTGCAATTGACAGCCTTCAGGGGAAAGGCAGAAAAAAACAGCCAGCCAAGTGTATGAGAAGAAGGTACGTACTGGCTTAAAAATGTACACGAAATGAAGGAGTAGCTTCCAGTGCATCTTCAGAAGCACCCAAACAGAACGCATTTGTATGGAAGCATGAGGCTGGAGGTTGGAGAAACACAGGATGAAATGGGTCAGAAGAAAAGAGCGTGAAGAACAGGACAAGGAGTTAAAAACCAACCTTGTCCAGCACAGAAATACCACATCCAGTTCCACGAGTAAGAAAGTCACTACCAGAGCACAAAGCCAGAGCACAATCACAAAACGTCTTAAACTATTCTTCAACCTTCTTTGTACTCCTCAAGTCTGAAATGCAGTGGCATTTACCAGAAAAGCCGCAGCCTGCAGAGCCAAGGGACACAAGGAATGCGCTCTGTCTATCCAGTACTTCTTAGCTTAATAGACTTCAGCAGGAAACTATCTGAGCACCTTTGGATTTCTGAATCTAAGCAGGATCATTTTTGTGTATCCTCAAATTTGTCATATAACCAATTCCATGCAGCAGGGACTACTGTGACTGCACCTGCTGCCCTCACCAACCTGTTTGTGATGTTAAAGTTTCAGAATTACAACAGCATAAGGGAAAGTCCGCAACGCATAACTGGGGCAGCCTTCGGCAGGTGTCATCTCCATCCTCCACCCCTGCATGCATGGAGGCTGCTGCTGAGCTCAGCTGCGCCAGCAAGGCAGGACACAAAGCACTGCCAATGTGGATCAGCTGTCACAGCTCTGTGACAGTATTTGTGAAGAGTTTGCTGCTTTCTTCTGCCAACCAACACTTTGCTGGGATTTTATTTTATTTTGGAACATGTTTTACTATTAACAGCATTAGCAATAAGATAACAGAGAGAAATCCGTTCAGGTGCTCGATCTAATTGGCCTGAGGGAAGACAGAGCAGGGTCTGTCTTCCAGGTGATTTCTATTTCCTTGGGCAGTTTGACTGCAGTCTCACCTTCAGAGGCAAGGAAGACAAACGTTGCAGGGATCCCCCACAGCAAGTGCTGTGGGCAAGGATAAGCCAGACCCTATGGGATCTGCTGGAAGCACTGACTTGAAAAGTGTGAAAGAAGGGATGCTTCTGCTCCCCTGCCCTGCTACACCTGGAAGGGACAGCAGAGCATGACAAGCAATCAGCTGGGCTTCTCCTGCACACATGGCTTTGCAGGCACTGGGACAATGAGCACCCAAGCACACACATCACAGAGCAAGCATAGGAGCTGCTGACAGCATTGCACGCCAACAGGCACAGCTCAGCTGGAGCTGCAGCCCATTCCCCAGGGCAGTCAGGTATGTGCCTGTGCAGGGAGAGCCCTCTGTGACAGTGATTTGGATGTTTCTGGTCCTAGCAGCTGCAGTCCATCCTCTGCAGCAGCTTTCAGCTACAAGGTAACAGCCTAAATCCCAGCACTCAGACCAGCAGCCCTGTGGCTCCAAGTAACAGCATCCACCAAAACAAACACCATCTACAGCGAGGAAAGGAACTGCACCCTGATGCACTGAGCAGGGGCCTGAAAGTCTCAGCGTGCCCCATCTCTGCTGACAGCAAGCCCCACGATGCCAATGGGAACTGACTGGCACAAGCTGGGAGCAGAGGCCATGCAGCCAGGGACCCTTCTCAACTGTGTCAGAACACATCAGTTCATTTTCTGCTGTGAATCAAGAGCTGAAACCTTCAGAGCGCGCAGGTGCTGCTCCTGTACAAAGATGCACCCGGTCACTACATGCTGTCAGATCCATGCAGCCCACTTGTCATAGTGCTCACTTGAAGGATAGAGGCAGAGAAGTTCACGAGCTTTTTGTAACAGGATTTACAGCAATTCCCTGCAGGATCTGCAGTAAGTGACAGCACACAAGAAGCACAGACCTGACCCAGAGCCACTGAACCCACAGCACTCCGCAGTCACTGCATGGGCACACGGCAGCCACCTGTCCCTGCCTCACCCTCCGGGCTGTGGGACAGCAGGGAGCCTTCTGGGGACCGGGCAACAGGCAGGAAAGGAGCTCTGAGAAACAGGGAAGCATCTTCTTTGCCTAAGATAGAGATACGCATCTTTCCATAAAATCTCGTCCTTTTGATCTCAGTGCCTCCTGGGCAAAAAACAACAGTTGTGAATTATAAACAACAGTAACAGAGTGATGGAGTTTTTTCTTACTCCCTAGGAAGACAACTACTGCTTCTCAGCTCAAGACAAAATACCTAAATTACTTTTGATGGTCTCATTAGGAGCCAGAATTTCTAAACAATGTCAGACAAAGAGAAGCTAAACTGAGAAAAAGCTTAAAAACAGCAGAATTACATTTTTTTTTTTTTAAAACCAGAGCTTTAAGACATAATATCTGCTTTACTGCCACCTAGTGACAATTTGAAACTTACAGAGTCACAGAATCCTTAGAGTTGGAAGGGACCTTGAAAGAAGAACAACTTGTTCCTTCCTGTGTCAAGTTTACATCTGCACAAGCGATCAGTAGTTTTGTCCACTGTTCATCCCCATAGGACAGGCAGCCAGGGCCAGTGGAACAGCTGAGACCTGAGCCATTTAGCTGCAGTTTTCTTATCAAGACTGACAAACAGAAAAGATGGAAAAAATACTGCACTTGCATGAAACAAGAATCAATAATCTGCAGCGTTGCCTTACAAATTGGTGTCACCAGATTTCTTGGAGCAATGCCATTATCATGCCTTCACAGCACACACTGGGTTCCACATTTGCAGCCTCGCAGTACCTGGCGCCCGCGCTTCCCTGGCACTGCAGGGCAGCCTCTAACCTCTGTTTTTCCCCCAGAATGTAACACTGGTGCTGCCCACACCAAGGCCCGGACCTGTGGCTGCCAGAAGGACTCCTGAGGCACTTCAGCTGACGACACACCACAAATAATGGGGTACAACCTGTCCTATGGACCGCCACCAGGTACAGTCAGGAACAGCAGCTCAGTGTCACCAACACAGCCTCCAACGTTCAGATGAGTCCTTTTGAAAGAGGCCTTCAGTATTCTGCCATGCAGCCCCATGGGGTTCAGTCCTGGCTTACCAGCCAAGACAAGGTGCAAACATTTTGGGTAAAAAAAAAGAAAAAAGAGATAATGTAGAAGAGCCTGGAGTTTGTTCACAAACACTTGTACACAAAACCTTAAAATCCCCAGAAAATGTGATTTTCAATTACATTAAGTAAATTAAGTTTCAAATTAGCATTTGAATAGGCTCAAAGGCACCCTCCAGAGCTCTGCTGCCCCTTCCCAGCAGGAAGCAGCACCGCTGTGCTCACACCGCATGCTGTAATGCGCCGAGTTCAGCAGCGCTGATTTGACTGCTGCTTTCAGTGGCTGACCAGCAGCCCACGGGGCTGCCCAGGGAGGTGACATTCTAGAGGACAGTTCTTCATCCATCGGACACCACGCACACTCTAACACTGCTCTCGCCCCACAGAGGAGCACCTGAGCACAGTCGCCAGCGCCGCCCCCAACCGCTCGGCGGGCCCCCCCGGGAACGCCACGCAGGACGAGTTCACCACCATCGTCCTTCCTGTGCTCTACCTGGTCATCTTCCTGGCAAGCATCCTGCTGAACGGCCTGGCGGTGTGGATTTTCTTCCACATCAGAAACAAAACGAGCTTTATATTTTACCTCAAGAACATTGTGGTCGCAGACCTTCTCATGACGCTGACGTTCCCATTTAAGATAATCCAGGACTCCCAGCTGGGACCGTGGCACTTCAACTCGTTCCTGTGCCGATACACGACAGTTCTGTTCTACGCCAACATGTACACCACCATTGTCTTCCTCGGGCTCATCAGCATCGACCGCTACCTGAAGGTTGTGAAGCCCTTTGGGGACTCCAGGATGTACAGCATCACCTTCACCAAGGTGCTCTCCGCCTGTGTCTGGGTGGTGATGGCCTTCCTCTCCCTGCCCAACCTCATCCTCACCAACGGCTACCCCACGAGGAGGAACATCGACGACTGCATCAAGCTGAAGTCTCCCTTGGGCGTCAAGTGGCACACAGCCGTCATTTACATCAACACCTGCACCTTCATGGTGGTGCTAATAGTGCTCATAGGGTGTTACATTGCCATATCCAGGTACATTTATAAATCGAGCAAACAGTTCATTAGCTCGTCGAGCAGAAAGAGAAAGCATAACCAAAGCATCAGGGTTGTCGTGGCTGTGTTCTTCACCTGTTTCCTGCCGTACCACTTGTGCAGGATACCCTTCACCTTCAGCCATCTGGATAAACTGCTGGACGACTCTGCACACAAAATCTTGTATTACTGTAAGGAAATGACACTGTTCCTGTCTGCATGTAATGTTTGTCTAGATCCAATCATTTACTTTTTCATGTGTAGATCGTTCTCACGAAGGCTGTTCAGGAAATCAAATATGAGAACCAGGAGTGAGAGCATCAGGTCTCTGCAGAGCGTCAGGAGGTCCGAAGTGCGCATCTACCACGAATACACCGACGTCTGAGCTCCCTGTGCACGGACCTGTGCTGACTGCTGAGGGTATTTGTACAGCATGTAAATAAAACCTGTCTTTGGGTACTGGACCACAGAAGTGCACTGAGAGTGTGCAGACATGTACAGCTCTGCCATTTCAGCTCACTAACACCTATCTTAACTCAAAATCGTAAATACACACACAGACTGGGTTCACTTCAGAGGCATTTGGGCATCTTTTCTTTGGTGCTTCTTAAGATCAACAGAAGCCAAAGAAATCCCATATAAGTATCCTGTAATGTAAAGAATGTTCCCATTAACCAAGAGGAGCTGTTCTCCCCCAGCTCAAGGTCCAGTGACAACTCCAGCTCAGTACGGTTCCTTTGTGTTTCATTTCATTTTTAATTCATTTTTGACTCCTATTGATCTTCCATCAGTTCTTCCTTCCTACCTTCTTGCAGAGTTTAGACAGTAACTTTGGTATTTTCACCCAGATTATTTACCGTGAGCAAAGAACATCAAAACATTCCTTAACAACCAAAACACGCATGGATTGTACTGGTGGCAGCAGACAGAAGCCAGGTTAAAGGCAGCGCCTGGAGGAGGAGGCGGTGGCAGCAGTGGCAGAGCAGAGCAGGTGCCTGAGGGCAGCGCCATGGCATCCAGAGCCACCAGCAGGTCTCCTGGTGAGCACAGCCAGGCCAGGCCAGGCAGCCACCAACACCCACCTGGTGGCACTGCCAGCCGAGCGGCAGGCTGGGACGGCAGCAGGACGATCCCTAATGCACGTCAGCCCAGCCACAGCACATCCCCAGACATCAGCACAAACCAAACGCCCTCCTGCTCTGTCTCTTCTCAAAGAAAACCCCAAGCACCTCCATATTTCTTCACCCTTTGCTTCCCCCAAAGCACAGTTCTTCAGCAGCCCTGCACAGGCAGGGCCCAGCACTACCACCATGCCAACGGCTTGCTTTCACAGCACTACGCCTGCTTAACACAGCATGAATAAGACAAGGGCTCCTTTCTTTAAGTTGTTTTAGTTTCATGTACTATGTTACATATAGCTTAAAACTTCAGTGTGTTGCACATAATACAGATAGTATATACCATATATAATCACACATAGCATTTGGATTAAATTGATGGATTAATGCAAACGTTACAAAACTGCTGGCACTGCTTGGGGGAAGGGGTCACTTCTGGAAAGGAAGAACACTTCCAATATTTACCCCATTCAAAACACAAATAGTACAGTTAGCCAAAATGACACAGAACAAACCCTATGTTAGCCCTGTAGGAAAAACTACACTCACATACGCAACACCAAAGCAAGTTCTGGGGCCACATTTGCCATTCTGTGCTCTTAAAGTCTGCGCATACATGAAGCACACGAAGCCATATGAACAGAACCATTTCTGTGACTGAGCTGCATAGTTTAAATTCTCTCCAGCTCCACGTTAGATGGAACAGCACACTGCTGGCTTGGCTCTGTGAAACAGCAAGGTCAGTGTGCGCACCGACGTCAGTAACCAAACACCTTCTTATCACACCCCATATGGTTGAAGTGACGCCCAGGCGCTCCTGGTCTCCCCTTTACGACACAAGTGACAGTACAGCAGGGCAGGTGACGGCTCCTCAGAGCGCACCATCGCTGCGTTACATTCTCAGCCCATCCTGCTCTCCTCTCTCCACCTGTGCTTCCTTCCAGCACACTGCTCCTGCCCGCTGCATGCACACCGGCTGCTGTTTCTCACTACCTCACTTGTTTTTACTTTGTGCACTCACATGCATTCACATTAGCTTTCCTCCAAAAAGACGCAGAACGGCCATTCCCTAAGTAGCGATTTCATACCAAAATGATCTGTTACCCAACGCACTGCCATCAGGGGATGCCCTCTGAAGAAAGCTTCACGACACCCTTTCCAGAAGACCAAACACATGAAGCAGCACTGCCTGGGGAAGGCAGAGGCTCCGGTCCCATGGGGGAGCAATGTGGCCATCCTGCATTTGGAGGAGGCACGGCTAAGCAATACTTGGCACAGGGCAGCCAGGATGGCTCTGCTCCAGAGCCCAGCAAGAGCAACGCAGACAGCACTGCTCCATAGAACTGCCTGTTTACTTTATCTTGACAGGGTGCATCTGCGATAAACATTTCTCACTACAACATACACTTGTGCTTATATAACAGTTCTTGGAAGTTGCTGCTTGGAAAATCTTTTCCCAGGACTAAAAATGAGTTATAAAAGAAAATCCAACTTCTCAAGTATCAGATAACTAAGTATCAGATAACTAATGTCTGCATTTCACAGGGAATTTGGTATTTAAAAGCCTTCTCTTTCTGAGAAGAAACAGGCCTGATAACAGCACTGCTTCACCAATGCCCACTGCTGCAACAAGCTTTTTTGGGGCTGTTGGTAGGAAGCTGCCTCAGTCACCATTTGGTTTGCATGGCCTAAGGACTCACTTTCAGACATATCCTTCTTTTTCACTTCCCTGTTCTGAGCTGTCATTCCTCTTTAGATCTGTTATCTGCTTAGGTTGTTAAAAATCCAGCAATTTAAATTAAATCTCTTCTGACCAAAACAAATTTCATAAGCAGTAACGAGGTTAGTAGGATCAAACAATAACAACTTAGAATCTGTTTTTGTTGTTTTTCACCCAAATGGGTCTATTTTTGACACTCGGATGTACTCCAGCACACACAACTCCTTGTCCTGTGACATAACTTTCAGTGGCACAGCACTGTTTCCCCTCACAGCCCCCACAGTGCCACACATGACTCACTCCCCACTCTTTCAACCATAGCTCTGGTGTTCCTTATTCTCTGTATTGTGCCCAAGCTCTTCCTGAAATAAGCAGTTATAGGAACAGCATCAAATGCTGCCCTAAGCTGCGCCCTCAGGAAGCAGGACAGGACAGACACACACCCGAGACTGGGACTGCTGTGTTCTGCAGGACATCCCACAGAGAAGGTGGTCCAGTGGAAGTACGACAGCAAAGCAGACCCAAGGAAGCAAGGAGGACACAGTGAACACCAGTGAAAGCTTTCACTGACGCAGTTCGGCAGTATGCTGTATAACTGATAGCGCTGCCTGAAGCACAGGCTGCTGTGGGAGGAATGTTTCTGGAGATGTGTTTAAGGCTGCAGATCACCATCTGCACAAGGCTCATGGCACTGCATGCATTGCCTGTGTTGCTTCTGAGATTACTCTGGCAACCACCTCTACCATGACTTCCTACCAGTGCAGCTTCCTAAGCCTCTTAAAAAAGCGAAGTGAAATTCCCTAACGTTCTGAAGATGTCTTTGTACTGACACACCAGAGCCGCCTCAAACAAGCCTAATGGTGCCACCACTGCAGCCCCTGGGCTTCCCGAGACTCACAGCAGCCCTGGCACCACATCCTGTGCCACGAGCACCAGGACACTTCACCCCAAGCTACAGCCATCAGAGCACGGCCATATCCCGGCTGAATTGGAGACACATCCTTGTAAGGCCTCCCAAGGCTATTCTACAGTGATGCTGAGCACCGAGCAGCCAGCATGGCAATGCTGGGCAGAAAACGTTTGCTGGCACGCTTTGATAGCTTAAAACATGCATTCCTAAGTCCTTCAGTGCCTTCGTAATCAGCACGAGTTCTAGGGGGATTATTCTAGAAAAATATTTATCTTGTTCATTCCACTTCAGTCTGTTCACAGCAACTGGATGTAAATACACACGGTCTATGCGGTTTTGTGTTTGGTTGGGTTGGAAGGCTTTGATAACGAGGCACAGTCCTCTAACAAGATTAGGGTATATTGTGTATGTGTGGCAACGGTCTGGTGCAGTAAAGTACATTCAGAAAAGATCAGATCTCAGCCTGTCAGCCCCACTCCTCTTCCCAAGGGCAGCAGAGTTACCAGCCCAGCTTTAACTTCGGCCAGCAGCCTCCAGCATGAGGACCGCCTGGCCACCACCACAGCCGCCCCTCTGTAACCAGCTGAGCTCCAACATGTCAGTTTTCTGCCATTTCTGGCTATGAAAACACATTCTCTGGTTCTGATGTAGAAGCTCATCAGTAGGACTATAAAAGCAGTTTCCTTTCATAGGCACTGAGCTCACACCAAACCTCCAAATTATTTTCTTAATAAAAAAAAAATAAAAATGACAAGACCAGGAGGTGGGAGTTTTGGAGTCCAGAGGAAGAAAAAGACTTGTATGGCTAAGGGTGAAATACATTATCTGCTGTTCTTCAGCCACCAAAAGCATGTGATATACAGGAGTCTTTCTGGAGACCATGCTCACCACCTTCTGACCCTTTGGAATTAACAGCTGCATCTGCAGATCCTTATATATTAAAACTGGCTGGCATTTTGGAAAAATATCCATGTTTGCATAATAAAGTGACTCTTCAGTCTGCCCTGATGTCTGCAATCATTCCGATGGGGTGAAACTGCACACAGAGCTGAGGCTTCCTGCCTGCCCTGTAAGCACTTAATCCTCTGCCCCTGAACAAATGATTGCTTCTCTCTGAAGCACACAAAAAAATTATGTGTGACGTAACATTTAATCCATCAGAGTGGCAGCCTGCACTTGGAAACAGCATTTCTCTCCTTCCTCTGGGACCTCACACACTCATGCAGAGCTGCACACTTCAGTCTTTTACTGAAGGCAGAACTTCTTTGGTAGCTTTAATGTAAACATTCTGGCAAGCTTCAACCAAGAATAACCAAGAAGTACAGCCATGGCATTAAGTGATCCTACAATGACATACTTCATAACCCAACATACAGCACAAAGAAGTCATCTCCAAAGCTGTTCACCCTTGGTTTCTGTTACTTGTCAGCATACGATCATGTTTTAGAAGAATTTCACACTAACAGCTGCGCAGCTTCAACTGCCCTCTGCATCACGAGCCCTGCACAGCTTCAGGGAAACCAACCAGAATCCACACGTCCCATTTGCCAACTGGTGTTTCTGAGTGCACTCAGCCTACTCAGCACTGCCTTCCTTTTCCAGTATTTGCTGCCTACTTGTGATCTTCAGAGAGGAAGGCCAACGACATTTCACTTCTGCTTCCCTTGCAAGCGGTTCTCTGCTTCTACTGTTCTACTTCTAACAATAAACAAAGTGAAAAAATGATACAAGTAAAGCTGAAGTAAGAGGGAGAATCACAAACAGGCTTTAAAGCCGCTGGAACAGCTCTGAACATCTAGCATGAGAAGGTCCTTTTTAAGGGTTGCCTTTAAGCTTTTCCTCCCTTATCTCAGTGCATTAAACCCACGCACAAGATTGTGTTCTTCACTCATTATGAAAGGCAAACACTGCCACCAAACATTTCCTTTTGGGTAATAAAGTCAGGCTGCCCGTCCAAAGATTCCCCCTCAGCTTACTTCAAAATACTTAGGGTTCAACTACCCAGAAATATTTGGCAAAGCATAGGACAGAACCCGTGGCTTTGCAAGAACTAAGCGACAACATAGGATTTCAACCTAAAAAAATACAGATCTGTATCCGTCTATGAAGAACAAAATTGAGACTCCATTCAAAGGCAGGCTGCATTTAGCAACATTTTCATACTCTTGTTCTGAGGATTCAAAGCAATGTACGTAAGCAGAGCCAAACAAGAATAACCTGCAATCAAAACCCAAGTATACAAAAGAATGCTAACAAAACTGTCCTAGAATTCACCTCACACTGGAGATCAGTGCCAGTTGATGCCAGATCAGCATCAATGCCACAGAGGCCTGCACGCTCACATCTTTGTGTACTGCAGAACATTTCATCCACATGCTTTCATGAAAAGCCAGGTCCTGCCCCACTGACAAATGAACCTCCTGATAGGTAACTCCATCCATAATTAGAGACGGCAACTGTGTCATCCTACTGTCCTTACTGCTTCAGCATGTGCAGGACTGGCATTTCATTCAGGCAATTCCTGCATACAGCTTCACAGTCCCAGAGCCTCTCCTCGATACCACTGCAGCGATTTCATGGACACCTACACTCCTACCTGCACAGAGCCAGGAGTTAACAGTCTACCCAGCACAGAAATCAGGTTTCTCCATTAAGGATTCTTCCTTGGAAGAGTAGGACTCACCCCCACTGCAGTGGCTTTCCACTTCTGTGCATACTTAGAGGCTTAGGGCATCAGTTATCAGCATGTTAGGGCAGCTGGCAGGGAAGACGGCACTGCGCTGCTGAGATGATTGCCAGGTGTGATGTTGCCAGGAAACCTCTGGTTGGTAAAGAGAATCAGAATATCAGGAATTGGGAAGGACCTTGAATGATCTTGTCCAATCCTCCTGCCGGAGCAGGAACACCTCAACCAGGTCACACAGGAAAACGTCCAGAACGTCTCCAGAGGAGACCCCACAACCTGATTAAATTAAACTTTAAACATAGCAGACCAACCCCCTGCAGCAAGATATTTAATGGGCAACAACTTTGAGAGATAAGGAATAATTTCATGGACTGATTAAGACATTGTAGAGCACAAAATCTGAGTTTGTGGATTTTATGACTCTATAAAGGGAATTCTTCAGGCAAAGCATGGAGAAAGTTTACTGTTCTTAATTTACAATAAAAGGACAACAGATTCCCACGACTTAAGGCTTCCAGAGCTCCTTTCATTGAAAGAGAAAAGACAGTATGCAGCTATGTACAGAACTCAACATAACTATTTCCCAACATTCACTTGCTTATTACCTAAAAGAGTGCATCCCAGAGAAAACTAAGCTTTTCTCCCTTTATACATCAAATTAAAGAGTAAGCACAATGCATTTCTCCCCATGACCACAGCAGTGACACTGCTCAGACAAGCAGCTCACGCTGAGGAAAAGAGCCCTGCAGATGCTGCTGTACACATTACCACGTACTGGTAATGTGTACATGGAAAAAAAAAAAAAAAAAAAAGAGACTTCTGTTCTTGCAAACAGAAGAGTAACACTGATGTGTCTGTGGACGTTCTGCAATGGAAGAGCCATTCCCAAGAAACCAGGTCCTGTGGCAGAGGGAATCCCAATTCCGTGCCACATAACTAAGCTTCTACTCAACACAGTGCACAGTTGCCTGTGCTGCACGTGGAAAACCTAGAGGTAGTTTGAGGCCTTCTGTGATTGCCTTTCAAAATCCCTTCTCCTGGCAGACTTTTCTTCCCCCTCTGCAAGGATTTAATCTAGACAGAAATAGAGGATCGCTTACTTCAGTTTTAGGTTTAGATGAGGAAGCTATCGGAAAAAGCTCACTGTGAGTCACAATGTGAAAGTTGTCCCTGGTCCCAAAAGGGATATTGAGGCTGCTGCTACTGGGAAAGAAGAAAATAAAAATTTAAAAACAAGAAAGAAGAAAAACAAAGAAAAGCCTTTATAGAATTAACTACAAAGTCTGCCTCAGAGGGCCGCAGGCTCATAAAGCTCTTCTATCCCACTCCTCATTTCCCAGCCCCAAAAATACACGACAATAGGATAGAGAGAAAGAGATGAAAAACTGTCTGCATGCCTTCTTGGAAGCATCTGAGAAGCCTGCTGCGCTCGGTCCTTAGCTGGTGCAGAACATCCTCCAGAGGAGGACAAGCAGGGCAGTACTCACCCCACCGCCCCGCAGCAAGGCTCCCTGCCCCAGCAGTGCAGCTCAGGACGGCTCGGGGCTGCCCAGACCCTGCAGCTCAGAGCAGCCCCACAGCTCAGGCAATCCTGGCTCCTGGCAGCAGAGCCCTACAGTCCAACATGCACCAGAGCACAGGCTGGGAGCTGCAGAGCTTCCCAATGCTGCACGTGGGCTGGCCTTCACAAAACTGACAGCCTGGTCCACCACAAAGCTTGCACAACACACGGGACCTGCGTCACAGGACCGCAGACACAGGTGTAAAGATGGAAGAGCCTGCACTGCCACTCAGCTGTCCTGCTTAGCACAGGAAGCCAGGCTCCAACCCAGGACACGCGCAATACCTCTCAGGTTCCATTTCTGCTTTCTGAGCAATTAAAGCAAATCTGAACTTTCCTGAAACACACATTGGTTAAAGCAAGGTAACATCCCACGATTATCAAAAGAAATTGCTTTCTCCTGGGCCCCACCTGGAAGCCTGGCACTCACAGGGCACAGCTTCGCACCGCCCCCAGGGCTGCCAAAGCAGCCGAGCCCCAGGGCTTCCACCCACTGCTCACAGCCCACGGGGCTCCTTCCAGCCTAAGCAGAAGGGAGCAGCTGACCTTGGGGACAAAAGAGTCACATCCATCACACAGGCAGCAAGAACAGAGCAAAGGCCCATGCAGCTGCTCTTCTATACACCACAAGGTCACTCAGCAGCCACGCAGACAGAAAGCTCTGCTGCAGGGCTGTCACCTGGACTGTGTGACTCAGAGCAGGGCTAAAGCCTGCAACCCCTGGCACTCACCACTTCTCCCTCAAAGCCTCCCTGCAAACTCAGGTCAGCACGCCCCAGCTGTGTGCACGATGGGCGCAGCGAAGCAGCAGAACTGCACAACTTCTGCAAGCATAGAAGGAGAGTCCGCCAGGGCAATGTGTATTCGAGGGGGCCCTGGGTAGTGCACTGTAAAACAGATTAAGTCATCTGCTAAACATTTGTTAACACTGCTGTACACCATTTACAAACTTTACTTTAATATAAATAGCAATATTTTTCCACATTCCTAATAAGAGATTATACTAGCTTCTTGTTTACCAAATATTTCAATGGGTTTTGTGCTTGGTTTCAATGCCTCTCAGTAAACGTATGAGAAGAATAGGAAGGGAGGAAAGCAAACAGGCAGACAAGTGATTAAGGTTAAAAGAAAAAAAAAAAAACAAAACAAGATAAAACTGCAGAAAGCAGAAAGAAAACGGCCACAAAGCAGAGATTTATCACCTGTCCCAAGAATAAATCTCTGGGTCTCAGAGCATGCCCAGAGCTAACGTGACGCAACCCTGTGAACTCCAGTGCAGAACACTCCCATTAACAGAACAGAAGCCATCGGGGCAGCCAGCCTTACAGAAGAGGTCACGGCCAGGCCTGGGAACTGCTTAAGAAAAGAAAACACCCTAAACTTCAGCTCACTGCTTTGCTAAATGCACAAATGTGTCTCTTTTGAACCCAGCTCAAAGCTGATCTCTGCGGAAGGACGCCTGAGTGCACTAAAATAGCACTGCCCAGCTGCAGCACTGACATTTGGAGTACAGCAGGCAGAGCAGCAAGGCACGGGGAGCAGCTCCTCAGCTCTGCACTCCAAAGCACACACCGACAGCCGAGGACATCGAGGGAGCAACACACCAATGAGCACGGCAGGGCAGCGCAGGAGGCTTCGCTGTGAGCAGTAAGTAGCAACCTGCTGCCATTAATGCTGTACTTATGGAGCTTTATGTGATGAGGTGATCGCAAAGGCTGTGTTCTGTACTTATATTTAACTGCTGAAAAGCTGAAAAATATTCCCCGGTGAAAGATGCTTTTGTGACAGATTTCTGTACTTGATCAACACTCCTCAACTTTTTTGTTAAACTTCTAAACAAGTTGTGGGTTTTTTCAATTGACAATGGAAAATCATTGAGGTGTAATACAAACCAGAACAAATAAATCCCTTAAAACACAAAGGAACTGTAAATAAATGCAAGAGATGAAGGCAGCCCCTGTCAGTGCAGGGCACTGCAGCAAGCGGAGCTGCTGTGTGTGGGGAGGGACTGCGGGGCACCACTGAAGGAAGCAGCCACGTATCTCCTCAGCAACTGCTTCTATTTTTATTGAGCTGGTGTCTTTGGCTGTAATAATAAAGCAATACATGTGAAATCTGAGGAAAACATCCCTGCTCCAGGTGAAATCCAAAGAGATCAGCAGCCCGTGGCAGGGGGTTGAAACTAGACGATCATTATGGTCCTTTTCAACCCAGACCATTCTATGATTCTGTTGTGACCCCAGAGCTTCTTCTGGAGCAGAATCATTGAGGCAAACCAGGCTGCTCACACACAAAGCAAAGCTGGAATGGGAAGTTTTAGAACCAGCACTCACTGATTCCTTTGCTAAACTACTCTATTGGTCCTTAAACTAACATACTGATCCCTGCTGCTAAGCACACCAGCCTGTATCACCAGGCAGTAATGCAGGCGCTGATCTTTCAGTGCTAAAAGATTGAAGAGACAAAAGCAGAATGAAAATTTCAACTTCTTGTTAGGAAAATGAGGCTGTCAGATTTCACACAGCACAGCACAGCGACCCTCAGACAAGAAGAAATGAAGCAGTTCCTGGTTCCACCTTTGAGGAGTCCTTGCTCTGCAACCAAAGGAGCTCACACTGCCTCCAGAAAGCTTGCTGTTGTAACGGCAAAGCAAACGAGCTTATCTACAACTGCTCCTCACACCCACTGGCTCTCCTCACAGGCTTTGTCCTTCAGAACACCAGAAATTAACCACAAACGCCAAGAAAGCATCACACACAATCCAACCGCCTGTTCCAGTTTTGGTCAGGAGAACCTGTTGGTGCTGCAGGCACCACGCAGTGCCCACAGGGCACCACTCCCCCCGCGCTGCAAAGGGCTGCAGGCAGACACAGCACCCCCAGGAGCACTGCCCACGGCAGGGAGATCCCTGCGGTGCCTGCACTGCTGTCAGTGATGCTGAGCAGGACAGTGGCAGCAGGGCGGCTGCGCAGGGCTGGTGTGAGATGCTCATGGGAGGGAATGGCAGGCAGCACCCAGAGCAGACAGGTCCAGGCCTTGGCACATGATCTGAAAAGAACCCCAAGGGCTTTCTGAGCTGGAGGTGGTCCAGGCCCAGCATTTGGCTTCATTTATCCCACGCTCAGGAAGTAAAGAGCTTGTAAGGAAAAGTGAACACCATGACAAAATACCTCCACCAATAACTGACTCTTACCTCCTCACTAGAATATTCCAAATCTTGCTTTTTTTGGACCAAAAAGGGAGAAGCACAGCTTCAATGGACAGAGTTGGATGCCTGCTCTCCCCATGCTGAGCTCAGCGCTGGACAGACCCACTCTGCCCCACACCAGCCTGCAGAGGTCCCAAAAGCGAGGAAGGCACTGAGACCCTCTGAAAGCCACTGCCATGCTCAGGAGAGCCCCTTCCTTTGAGCCAGGTCCGAGCATACCACACAGGCTGCTATCTCTATTAGTTGCTTACTACCTTTTGCTACAGGAGCACCACTGAAGTTTCTCTCCACTCTGTGCCCAGCGTTGCACTGAGCACACGGCCAGGCTCTGCTCCAAGGGCCGCACACAGACCCTGCTGCAGAGCACACCTCCATCAGGGCTCTTCTATCAGCCCTCTCTCAAAACGTCAGAGAGAAGCTTGGCATGTTCTTCCTCACTGATAAATGCCATTTAGCAGTTCAGAAAAGAGTTCTGGAGAAAATGACCACCATCAATCTTTTCTGACCCAGCAGCAGCATTGCATGTCTATCAAACAGCAGCATTAATTTCCACAAATAGCTGAAAATGTTCACTTAATACTGCAGAATATACTCAAGACAACAAAAACCCACTCCAGTATGAGCGAGTGCATGTCAGAGAGAGCCGGATGCCCGACCAGGTGAGAAAAAGCACAGGTAACTTTTACCAGAAACGCCAACAGCATGATGCGAGCAGAAGAGCCACAAGCCTCGAGCTGCGTGCATACAGTGATGGTCCAGGACAAACACAGCTGCTCCCACCATGGCTCTGTTCCGGAGCAATGCTGAGGGCCTGCTGACAGATTGCACAGGGCAGCACCATGATGACAGCTCTAACCGCCGTGCTTCCTGCCCAGCAGATCGCTCTGCTGGAGGACAGGCCCTGCACTAATGATGGAAGGCTCTCGAGGCCCTTAGCACCTGCACTAAAAGCACCCAGCAGTCCGATCCAGAAAGGTAAGGGCATGCCACAGGTGTGGAAAGGTTTAGCGTCTGTCTTGGACTTTGGCCTCTTTCTCAGGCACAGACAGCTGGTAAATCTGTTGCCATCAGAAGCAATACCTTCATGTCTAGTCTCCTCCTCTAGAGACAGTAGACAAAGATACAACGGCCACATCTCTGAGCACTGACCACATACTCCTGAAATAATCCTTTGCAGTATGATATGTTAGCATGAGAACTACTTGGCAGACTTCCCAAGCCATTTAGTACCTGCTGCTGCCAGGCCCAAGAACCAAACCTCCCACACAAGTTACTTAGCAAACCCAGCAGGCAAGGAACAACTCTCAAGCACACAAGGTGGGGAGAGAAGGTCCTGCTCAGACAGCCTTGCAGGACAGACAGGACACACAGCAGACAGCAGTGGGAAGAGAACAGCTTTCAGACAGTAGGTTACCGCTCTAAATAAGAATGCCATTTGTTGGTGGTGCTCCCCCCTGACTGAGGATACATGGGAGAAGCAGAGATCCTCCACCTAGCAGTATCACCCCAAACCTCACCTCTTATTAACTCACAATCCTAGCACACCCACTCACCTGGCGGCTCTGTTCTTACAGCCACTCACCACACCAACTGCAGCCTTGAAAAATTCAGCCAAACAGAAACAAGTGCCTTGACTTGAGAAAAGCCTGAAAATAAGAGAGCAGGCCTGCCTGTGGGAAGACAAGAGGCAGAGATGAACTGCAGCTCTGGGCACATTACAGGCTCATTATTCCACTCATCAAAGCAAGTTCCAAAACAGCCACAAAGTTTGTCAGCCTTTATAACCTCCTCCAGAGACACAAAGAAAACAACACGCCAAGGGAAACTTACCTATGTGAAATAAAGTTTCCATTTCCAGTTACTGCTAGGTTGAAATGGGGTTCTACCTGCTACACAGAGGCACCAGCTATTGGCTCTCAATTGCAGCAGTAAGGAAATGATTCATCTTCCAGCAAACAGGATGTTTCTCTCCCCCTGCTCTGCAGCACATGTTTTCCAGTTGCCCAGGTTTTCATGTGCCCACGAAGCAGCAATATGTACCTGTCTGTTCAGGCTTCCCTACAGCGGGTAATTTACCCTGCCAAAGAGAAGCAGACAGCAGATGCGATTTCTTGGAGCCTCCCTGGGGATCCTCTAAAATTTGAGCCTGAATGATTTGGGAGGGCACTCTCACTTCTAACTCATGCTAATATAGACACAACATGGTATGCTGTGTTACTAAAAGCTTAGAGCAAACTGTGCTAGCTGCACAGAAGGCTCTCCCCTCAAGAAAGGATCAGAAAATACTATTAGTATTTTAGCATCTATTAGTTATTCCCAGGCTTGACTAATAAAGCATGTTTGCAATGACCATATTCAAAACACTTTTACAAGGAACTTTTATATCCGTCATCTGTTTCCAGGTAAATCAGTGCTAAAATACACACGAGTTGTTCAGGTTTAATGAGGTGCATTTGCAGTCACTGAACACTGTGGCTTCCCAGCATGTAGGCTCAACTAAAAAACACAGGACAGGATTTGAGCAAAACCATTTGAGCAAAACCAGGATTTGAGATGGACCCAAATCTAGAAGAAACGACAGAAGCCCAAAACAGCAGCATGCCCCTGAATACCAGCACTGAGTTGGCACCACCTGGAAAGCATTTACTGTGCTGGAAACAATAACGTGGTTTCTGAGAAGTACACCAAGTTTACTTTGAAATAAGATTAGAAATCCTACACTGATTAGCAGAAAGCACAGTTCTGTGTTATCTTACTGAGATTATATTTCTTCTGCTTCTAGGATCAAAGACATTGTAAGATGTTCAATTCCAGCACAAACTCCTCGGGAAGCAGCTGCAGTAACAGCACAGTAATAACAAAGACAGTCATTCCCCTGATCTACTGCCTGATTTTCGTGGTAGGGCTGCTGCTGAATGGCGTGGCAGCATGGATCTTCCTGTGCATCTCCAGCGAGAAGAGTTTTATCGTCTATCTCAAAAACATCGTCGTCGCAGATCTCCTGATGAGTCTGACATTTCCTTTCAAAATTCTCGCCGACTCGGAAATTGCACCTCCACAGCTCAACACGTTTGTGTGCAGGTACTCTGCTGTTGTTTTTTATGCAAACATGTATATCGGAATAACGTTTTTTGGCCTCATCGGTTTTGACAGGTACTACAAAATCGTGAAGCCTTTATTCACCTCCTTTGTCCACACGGCTCACTACAGTAAGGTTCTCTCTGTCATCATATGGCTATTGATTATGTTTATCACGCTTCCAAATATGATTTTAACTAACGAAATCCCTAAAGCAAATTATTCCAGAACATGCATCGGTCTTAAAAGCGAACTTGGCAAACAGTGGCACAAGGTGTCCAGTTATATTTGTACAGGGATTTTCTGGATTGTTTTCCTCCTACTCATCATTTTTTACACTTCAATCTCAAAAAAAATATACAGCTCCTACAAAAAGTTCAGACGGAACTCAGAGTTCACTAAGAGGAAAACCAGCCGTAATATATTCACCATCATGTTCGTGTTTGTCCTCTGCTTTGTGCCGTACCACTTCTGCCGAATCCCGTACACCCTGAGCCAGACCAGCTCACAGTTCGACTGCCGCTCGCAGAGAGCTCTGTTCCACGCCAAGGAGTTCACTCTGCTATTATCTGCTGCCAACGTCTGCCTCGACCCCATTATTTATTTTTTCCTCTGCCAACCTTTTAGAGAAAGGCTGTATCAAAAACTGCACCTCAAGCTGAAAACGTCAGGTGAGGCTGAAATCACCAAATCGAGGAGATCAAACACGCTTCAGGAAAGCGTGAACATTCTGTAAGTTCAGGTCTGTAGAATAACGCAGGCTTGAACGTTGCCCCAGAATGCAAACACTGACACTGCAGAAAGAAACTGAACAGGTGATGACCAGCAATAAACCGAAAAAGGTTTCAAGCACAAAATACCAAGCAATGTTTCTCTATATAAAAAGTCTATTGCATGCTGTTGGTGTATTTACTACGTGGTATTTCAGCTGACTGTGACTGCACTGAGGTGCATTGTGACCTATCTGGATCTCAGAAAAGAGTAACTGGAACAAAACATTCTGGAGTGCCAGGCCACAGTTCTGAAAGAATTATCCCAGCCTTGAAGTGCCCTCACTCCTCATGAAGCCAGGCAGGACACATCTGAGGAGCAGCAGGGCAGCCCAAAGCGCCTGCGAACAACAGATCATCCCAGCTCAACTGGAGCAGACCCCCTGAAGCAACACGATCAGCTCAGCTGGGCCTCCCTGGCTCAGCCTCTGCCACGGAGAGCTCTCTGTGCATTCACCAACTCAGACAGCAAAGCCTTTAATGAAGTGCCCAAATGCTTTAATGACCTGCCAAAGAAAAGGCAGCTCTGTGCGTGTGTTGTGTATATATATGTGTGTGTGTGTATATATATATATATATATATATATAGGCAGTTGTGTATGTGTATATATATGTATACATGAGGGAGTGATCAAATCCTCAAAGATTTGCACAAAGCCTGAAAAAAAAACAAAAAAAAACAACTGGTGCAACTTACAAAAATATTCTGACTTTCTTAAGCAAATTGTTCTACAAGTTTAGGGAATTAGACAACATGACTTCTCGTCATCCTAAGGCATCAAGGAGTCAGAGAACTTCTAAGATATAATGTTCAATATAAGAAAATGTATAAAGAGGGACCCTTCCACAAGCTGGTAAGCACTGTGCCGTACTGTTCAGGGCTTTTTCACAAAGCATGGCATACACCAAACTCACGCACACCCTCTCTGCTGCAGGAGGTAGGAACAGTTCAGGAGCAGTGTAGGAACTGGAAGGTCATACACTGAAATCCAGAAGGAATGGTTTTCCTGTGCTTTTGGCACTATGGTAAAACACATAACTATGTACAGAAGTAACAGCTGAAACACCAACCTTCCACATGCAACTGTAATCTTCTTTTAGTGATATTTTTCAGTGCAGCCTTTTTTTTTTTCCCCAATCATCATAAAGGGAAACTGTACCAATGCATTAAGCATCCACAAAAGCTTTCCAGAAATGACTATGGAAGCTCTCATTTTGCATAACAAAGAAGTTACAGGAACAGAAATAACACCTATTACCTTTCTGCCACTGTATGTTACTTTAACCCAAACAGGTAGTGTCTCAGGGTGAATACTTTGTTTAAATACACTGTCTTTGTAAGTTTTCCAAGGCTGTGGGCAACTTCTCTTGGTCTGACATCACCAACCTGCAGTAACAGTACACCACCATCCTTGACCATGAACTCCCCGACTCGCACCAAAGCTTTGCAGGCTCTTCCTTTCAAGTAAGAGAATAATTTGAAAGGGAAGGGAATCTTCGGATTTGTAGGTGACTTCTTATAATTGATGGCAAAAACATTTGGTTCCTTATATGAGATGGATTTTATTTGCCTACATAAACCTAAGTAATTGCATATGTCAAAATACAGCAGCACACAGTGATGAAATCCATGTCTGCAATTCACATTTGTATAACTTTTTTTTTATTACTTTGCAAGCTTTGGGGGGAAAAAAACCCAAAAACTATTGCTACTGAAGAATTGTCTCTGCATCCTACCAGTTTGCCAACGCTACAATGACAAAAATCTACACAGAGCACCTCAGATGAAAGCATGCTGATGCCATACATTGTTTCCAGAGCAACAATGAATTCCGAGCTTCTGATGAGTTTCAATTAAAAAACAAAAAACAACTCCCTCCAGTAACTTCACTGCTCAGGAAACATTTTGAGACCACTGACCCTACAGCAATCCAGTACTCGGGGAGACGCAGGTCTCGAGGAACTCCATTATCCAGCCAAGCTTCTGCTCCACGTTGCCAACCTTGCTCTGCTGTATAAACCAGGACGGAAAGGTACATTGGTAAGTTAATTCTGTGACATTTTTCCCAGCACACCATGTCTCAGATAACCCTGGCAAGCAATTCAGACACCCAAGTCCTGTAGTCCCACTAGGAACCAGCTCTTGCCCTGCCCACATACTTCCCTAAAATTGTTGCAGTGAAATTTATGGGTAACCGAGGCTAAATCAGGTTCCCATTTGAGGGGTTATGCTTAGCAAATGGAAATCCTTCCTCCAAGCACTATTTAAGGAGAAAAAGTTCATTACACAACATTCTCAACATACAAAAAATCCCATGTGGGCTGAAACCAGCAATGCGGCTCCTAGGTTAGTTGTGCAAGAAGCCATCTCCAGTAATGATTGATCTCTACTACAAACAACAAGAACATCTCACCCAAGGGGAATCTGATGCCACTTGTTGGTACACAGCAGACCTTGTAGTCACAGCCAGCAGATGCAGCAAGGGCTACACGTTACAGCTGCCAGCTGCAAGCCATGGCACAGCAGGGCAGGCCTAGCGCTCCTGACACAAGGCTCCGAGGGGCCCAGGGAGCTGCTGGCTGCTGCACTGCCTGCATGGTGCGCCTCGCTCTGCCAGCTGAGCTCTCCCAGCACGCCCAGGCCCTGCTGAGCTCACACCACATCACAGCCAACAGGTCGGGACCCCTCAGAAGGGGCCAGCAACGCACACACTGCTGGGCACATCTGCTCTCCCTGTGTGCATAAATAGAAATGCCAGCAACTCTTCTCTTCATCACAAAGAGCTATTTCTGCACAGAACTCGTAACAACAACCCTTGTGCCAAGTACACCTACATTTTTCACTTACAATGCAGACCTATTATAGTGGGATAAGACTTTTTAAACTGTTAACAAAAGCCACAGAAATCTTTAAAAGCAGACGGTGGATTTGTTTGCACGTGTTTGGGCACAGAGCGCATGAGTGGGGCACAGGATGGGGCAGAGGGCGCAGATCACTCCCCAGGGATGCGCTCAGCGCTCACCTCACGGCCCCGCACAGGAAGAGAGGGAAAATCCCTCAGGACTGATTTGCATCATCTGCTCACCACCGTGCCTCGGAACGGCTCCAACTGCTTCTCTGAGTCGAAAAGCTGAAAGAAAACTGACTCTTTGAGAGGGTTGCCTGCCTATCATCACGCAAATGACAGAAAATCACAAAAAAGCCAGTGCTTCCCCTGTATTGTGCCCAGCCGCAAGTTCTGCAGTCAGCACACATCTGTCTGACTTATACATCTGCAGGCACACCAAGCTCGCTGAAGACATCAGAAGAGAGGTAAACCCAAACCCTCAGCAGCACAGACCCAGGCCCGGCCCAGCCCCACAAGCACAGAATACCAACACAGTCCCACTGGACCCTGCCCTGAGGAGCGCACTGTGAATGAGCCCATGGCAGCCCGCGGAGAGGCAGAAAGCACAGGCAGCTCCCCAGGGGCCAGCCCCAGATGGGCCAAAGGCATCCCTCAGTGCAGCGTCCCCACACCCAGAGCCAGGAATGGGCCGAGGGCTGTCACAGGGCACAGTGTGTGCAGACCCTCACCACTGCCCTCACACTGCGCCTCCGCCACAGAGCCCCACAGCTCCAGAGCACACCAGCCCGCTCCCACCCACGGCAGCTCACAGCCCTTCCCTCCCTCCAGCCTCTCTCCATCCCAGTCTGCACAACGGAGCTGGCCTGTATGGGAGATGCACAGAAAACAGACCAAACTCTGCATTTCAAGTTAAAAAGTGGTACCGTGCAGCTTAGCCTTGCACGATGAGCACAACAGCATAACATCAGCCCACATCTGCTCAAAGCTGACCAAAGGAGCACTCCAGATTAAGAAGCTTTGCAAACATCTCAACAAATATGGTCTGAACTTTCAGCCTATGACTAAATCTAAAACCAGACATTCTTAACTTGGTTTTTCACATGGCTCTGGTGCACAGTATGTAAATTCCTGAGGATTCTCAACTACCAGGGCACTAACAAGACAGGTTTCAGTGCCAATATTTTAGTAGTGCCTGGCAAACCTCTAAAGGTTTTAACTCCTAATAGAAGTACCTCCCCCCCAGGTCACACAGTGCTCCCCCAGCTGCCCCCACTGGGCTCCCCATCCCCGTGCATCCCCTGCCTGCACTGTAGGAAAGGAACAACCACAGCACCAGAGGGCAGCTCCACGGGGGCTCACATCCTGCTGTCACTTCTCCAGGTAACTTTCATGTGCCTCGGTTGCTTGAACGCTGGTTTTAATTGCGTCAGCCAGAGCATTTAAAAACCACAGACATGTTAAAAAAAAACAGCAGAGACAGCAAGGGGAAAACATTAACCTGCTCTTGCACCATGAGAAAACATGCTGAGAGACACCGAATGCTAACAGACTGCTGCTCCGGATCCTCCCAGGGCCCTAAGACAGGTACGTGCTTGTCAGTCCTTGTCTGCTTCCCTCTGCCTACACCTCGGTAAACCCAGGGCTTGAAGTCCAGCCGTGCAGAGTGCAGGCACAGCAGGCCCAGGAGCCCAGCAGGGCAGCTGTCAGCAGCACCCAGCACAGCGCGCACGTCGGAGCCAGGCAGCACTGCCTGTGCAGGGGGACGCCAGCCCTGAGCCTGGGCTGGGCAGCACTGCCTGTGCCCAAACCTGCTGTGAAAGGGTACATCTGCAAGACAGCAGAGGCCAGCTAGAAAGGCAATGCCTTTCTAGGCATTTTAAACCACCCTACAAGTATCTGCAGTCAATTGTATTTACTGAAACACAAATTACGTTCATCCGGATATGTGATTTACAGCAGAAAGCAAGTGTGAAAATGCACCACTTCACTTGTGCATTAGACAATCAGAATAATGTAGTGCTATAAAAACTGATGCAGATTTAGGCTATTTGAGGTGCCCTTCATCCCAAGGAACTCTAGTGTACCTCCTGTGTAGCTGACACTGTGCTGCAGTCCGTCAGCGTAGCAAACAAAAAAGTGTGGCTGCTGAGTAGCAGATTTAGTTAAAATAGCACAATTTCTACTTTCCTTCCCTCTAATTTCTAGTGAAGCCTAAAAACAAGGCAAACAAAGTTATTTGATAGTAGCTTTTTCCAAAACATGCCTTTTTTTAAAAGGCTTGATTTAAATCTGCAATTCCTTTATCCTCTGCTCAGGTGAAAGAGACAGCAAAAACGTAGAACTGAGAAGCACTGCCCGGCCATCCAGCCAACGCATTGCACGTTGGCTTGACAGGGCACTAACCTCAAAACTTCTAATATACTTTCCTAAAGCGAGATTGCTACAACATTACCCTTCATTTTTAAACGCAGCTTCACCTGCCCTAAAGCTGCAAAGTTTCGTGTGACCGTCTTTAACCAGACGCTTAACCTGAAGCAGTTTCGTAGCTTTTGTGGGTTTGCTTTTTTTTCCTGAGCCTCGCATGCAACCTGAAAGACTGCTCTTGTGGAAACACTGCTGAGAAGAAGTCTATATGCTTCCAAGAACAAATCCTATGCATTCCCAAACATTTCTGACAGGAGAAAAAAGCTCTCTCAAACATTTGTGAAGCAGGATGAGAAAAACGCATATTTTGTCCTGGCTGCATCTTCTCATGAAATCACACACACAAAACTCTCAGAGAACAATCAATATTGCTCAGAAAAGCTGATGTCTTCTCGGCTGTTTCTCGTAGGTTCTTGATCTCTCCAGCCAGCAAAGCACACAAGAAGTTCACAATGCCAAACAACGCTTCACAATGCTACATCAAAACAGAACTAGAACCTTTCACCTATTTTTACTACTTGATCTTTCTTACGGGTTTCCTGGGGAGCTGTTTTGCGCTGTGGGCATTCACACGAAAAGGTCAGAAGCAGAAGTGTATGAGCATCTACTTAACCAACCTCCTCACTGCAGACTTCTTGCTGACTTTGGCGTTGCCAGTAAAGATAACAGTTGACCTAGGCGTTGCGCCCTGGAAACTGCAGATATTCCACTGCCAAGTGACAGCCTGTCTCATCTACCTGAACATGTATTTATCAATTATATTCCTGGGATTTGTAAGCATGGATCGTTACCTTCAGCTCATGCACAGCTCTAAGATCTATCGCATTCAAGAGCCTGGATTTGCCAAGGTTTTGTCTGCAGTCGTATGGACAATGGTTCTCCTTATAACAGTGCCTAACATGGCTATTCCAATAAAAACCACTGAAGAAAGACCTAACGCAAGGTGCATCGATCTCAAAACAAAATTTGGGAGAGACTGGCACGTGTTTACTAACTTTGTGTGCACAGCAATATTCCTGAATTTTTCAGCCCTGATACTCATTTCCAATTTCCTCGTTGTCAGACAGCTCTACCAAAACAAATACAGCGAGAGCTACCCCAGTGTGAAGAAAGCCCTGGTGAGCATACTGCTGCTAACAGCAGCCTACCTGCTGTGCTTCCTTCCCTACCACGTCGTTCGCATCCCTTACACTCTGAGCCAGAGTGACACCATAACCAGCTGCTCTCTGAAGCAAACTCTCTTTCAAGCAAAAGAATCTACCTTGCTCTTTGCAGTATCAAACCTCTGTTTTGACCCAATTCTGTATTATCGTCTTTCCAGTGTATTTAGACTGAAAGTTAATGAGGCTTTTGTGGCATCCAAACAGGCAAAGGCTTCCACAGATGAAGAGGCATAGCACCAAAGCGAGCAGCGGGTGCAAATGTACTGATTCTAAAGTACCCAGAAAGGATGTGCAAACACATAACCTGAACAGCCATTGTGCAACTGGAAACAGCTGCTACCACCAACATTACGACTGGATGGATGAGAAGACTCACATCACCAAACCAGCAAAGCACTCGGTGTCGCTTTTTGGAAATATTGCAGCTATCAGTGCCAACCTATGAACAGTCAGCAATAATGTGCAATAAAGCTCGTTGAGACACACCCAAATACACATTCTTAGTATTTATGGTAAATACTTTGGGCTCTCCCTAAGTAAAATATTGTATTCTTAACAGATTGAAGAGCTTGGTGGAATGAAGTAAAGATTTGTTTCCAAATAGCAGCTCATGGCCTGCAAAGCTTCTCACAGACACAATTAACCCAAAGGCATTTTAAAGGGCATTACTTAATCTAGAACGCAGTGTTAAGCTCCACTGTTTAACAAACTATTGCATCTGCTTACATCTCACCCGTAATTCCCATAAATAAACCTTCTGTTCTTGTCAAGTTCCACTGCCCTCCTGTGTTGCTACTGCACTGAACTTAAAAACCAGCAACATGTGAGTACAGAAGTTTCAAGGCAACTGTAAAATGAGAATAAAGAGTAAGCAGAAATACTCACTGTGTGGTCTTTGCTTGTATTTATAAAAATTTATAAAGCAGTAACTAAAAGCATTTATGTATATATGTATACACACACACTATTATTTTTATTTATTTTTTACAAGCACTTCTACAAATAACGTATTTATAGAATAGATGATAATCACAGTGAAAAAACAATTTGCTCAGGCAAAGTCAAACTGCCAGGATTAACTCCATCTGACCAAAACTTCGGCAGAAACAAAAATAACTAACTTACATGGTGCAAGACATAAATCAGACTTCGAGCAAGCACTCAAAACCGGCCTGAAAAGAAACAGCTGATTCAATATTCTCATGAAAACAAATCACCTGTAGCAACCCAAAATTAAAGCAAGGAAGGCGGGAGGCCAGGAGGAATCACATCACACACCAGCTGACGCCTCCTGTACTGGTAGGATTCAACACTGCTTAACAATTACCATTGTTGTTTCTAAACAAAACCAGAACAGTTTGAGCAGACACTCCACTTCCTGCCCGCTCAGCCTGGGGCCCTCTGCCCAGCACTGCAGCAAACATGCAGTATCGTTACGTAAATAAATATCTAAAAATCAACCAAACGAGGGTTTGGGATCTGGAACGCTGCTCATGGAGTTCTCTGCAGTTCCCATGAGGTCCCAGGCCAACAGAGTAACAGAAGCAGCCCAAAAGCCATACTACAAACAAGAGGAAGCGGGAGGAAGGAAATAGCACCATTCCATCCATCACACTTCAGATATTTTAGTATTCATCCCTTAGTCCAACTACTAGATCAGATTTTCTATTTAGCAAACCTTCATCAAACCCTAGAATGTGGCATTTGCAATGTAGTACCATCTCCCTTCTCTGCTAGGTTAGCATAAATCACTACTGCTCAGGCACTTCTCCAGGAGCACGTTTTCCTTTGGTAAGATGAAGCTCCTGCACGTTGCACATCCTGCAGCACACAGCGGGCACGCGCAGCAGGAGCAGCCTCACGAGAGCTGATTGGGAGCCCTCGAATGAAGCTGGCTCTGCACCCTGCACATAGTGAACACTTCTTCCTTCAAGTGCTTTTATTTGCCATCACAACAGCCAACACTGCTCTGTGCCCAACCAGAATTCACTCACCAGAGGTATTGGGAAATGCGTCGCGTATTGCAGATGACGAAGGAGGTCGTAGTTGGATGGAAAAATCACTTCTCTGAGCCCTTCCCTCTTGACTGACTTCTCACTGGCAACCGAAATTCTTCTGTCTAAAGAAGAGTTCATGTTCTCACAGGACTCCCCAGGCATCGGAGAAAAAATCTAAGTCATGTAAAACAAATGTTTGAGATAAGTAACCTCTAACTTTTTAAATTCAACAATTCCAAAGACAAGATTATTTATAAGCATCTGAGCTTTTTTCAGAGATAGACAAAACAAGGGCAATGGTAATCTGTGCTGAAATGTAAGCAGCTACATATACAAGTTATATTTCTACGTGAATCTCATTGTTATCAGACAGGTTTTAAACTAGAAGTGTTCCATGAGGGAAGAAATAACCAAAACATTACAGTTCAGAGCAATTTCTACACATAAACAGTTGGGACACAGAAATGAGAAAATCCAGAGGGAATACAACGAACAGGGTGAAGTGGGAGGCGATGGAGGACAAAAGACACTGCAGCAGGCGGGCATGAAACCATTACTATGGCAGATGCCAAGCGCACACAGTGTGTCCAGTATCCAGCAAGTGGGCAGAGAGAAGGGAAGGAGCATTAGTGTGCATCTGCATGTACATGCACAACAAGGGGCTGCACAGAAAAGCCATGTGTTGCCACACAGTGCAGATGCACAGAACAGAGGCGATGCACTGCCAGAACACAGCAGGCGCCAACAGCACTGGCTCTTGGTGGAAGCAGCCAGGCAGCACGAGGGGCACAGAACGTTCCTGGTGACAACAGCAGGCAGCAAACACAAGCACCAAAGGCATGCAGAAAGCCAAAAGTTAAACCTACTGCAAATTCTGAACCAAAATCTGCCTTAAAGTCACCCTTGTCTACATCATCAAAGATACTGGTGGGTCCTGAGTCAGTGCCCATGTGCTCCATAATGCTGTGATCCTAAGAATTGTCAGAGAGAGAAACAAGCATCAGTCGCACTGTACTGATGACCTATTCAACTGGTCCCAGGTAAACCCAAGCATTTCACCTACTTAAGAAATAAGAAAAAAGTAGTGATGTTTGGAAGCTTTCACATACTGCCTTTTGATTCGCAGAAGTACTTCTCAAGCCTAAATCCATAAAGCAATAGAAGGGAGAAGGGGCTGAAGGAGATACAAAGGTTTACAGCATATCCCTGCAAGTAGTTCTGCTCCCAGGCACACCTACAGAACGGGACTCTTGCGCCTGCAAGGTTTACTTGGACAACCCCAACATCCTAGGGCAAGTTTGGCCCCGAGCCCTATGTAAGAGATGTATAAAAGGAATGAAAGGTAAAGATGAGAGAAGCTTTAGCTGGCCGCCAGCTCCACAGGCACTGGGAGCAGCACAGAGGGCTGAGTCTCATCATCCAAGTCCAAATGTAGCCCACGTTCTGCAGCTTAAAGGTGCCTTCTTTTTTTCACTCGTTTTAGCAAAGATGGACAAACGCTCATCTGATGGAAGACTGAGGACTGCACACGAACTGTGCACATTGGAGTCACAAGGATTTGCTTTATGACCCAGTTCATACGGACATCTGTGGCTGTTCAGCACACAGCGAGCTCCTGACCCCTGCGAGCAGCTGAGCACAGCTTCCTCCAGACTCCTGTGAAAAGCTCTCCTTCCTCCTCATTAGAGTTTACCTGCACTTAAGTTTCTTCACATTTCACTGCTAAATTCAGAAGCCAACATCATGCATTTTTGTTTGTCCAGAGTTATTTAGCTCAGTATATTTTCACTAAAACAGCAATACTTAAGTTACAAACAAAAACACAGCTAAAGGATCACTTCCAGTCCACTTCCAGTCACAGATAGAAGGCCAGACAAAGGGAGATTAAAAATAAGTTAAAAAGAAAACCTGTATCTGAAATACCTTGGTGAAAAACCACATTTTATGAAATCAAGTACTGAACGTGGGAGAAACAACATGAAGCATTACCTCTATTTTAACATCATTATCCTTAGAATAGCGCTCATCCACAGTTTCCCCATTAGGTGAACGTGGTCTCGTAGTTGCAGTAATTGACAAGTCTCCACGCGATATTAAAGTGCACATGTATGCATCATGAGAGAAAACATCATGTCGAGTGAATTCGGAAAACAGCAGCACCAAATTCACAAACTCTGTCTTCTCATGGTCGCTATTTGGGTCAGCTAGCCAAAAAACAGAAAAAACAGGACTGTAACTCCAACATGGAAATACCTGGTTCTTAGCCACCCAACATGCAAATCCCAGCAAGTTCACGTGCTAAAGGTTGAGAGGTCTGATAAAAGTGGCTTGGGTGTCCTGGACGGATTATCTGTGCCTCCACAGAACAAACCATTTCCCACCTACTGGCACACAAGCAGCGTGGCTCTGCTTTGCTGTCAGCTGGAGGCACGTGCCAGAGCTCCAAAGGCAGCAGGTGCCAGAGCATCCCACCCCATCCGTGCCCGCTGCAGCTGCCATTGGTCAGCAGTTCAAAGACAAATTGAATAAATAAACAGACAGATAAAAAGAGGGACGGGAAGAGAGGGTAAGGACATCCCTTAGGTGCAGAAAAATTATTGTGAAGCTCTGGATTATAACAGGCAACTCTGTCCTTCTGCTCCAAAATTCTATTACAAGGGTAGATTTCACTGTTTTTTGACAATGCTTTTATATTTTTAATGGAAAAGCTTTTAAAGTATTTTCAAGGAATTCATTCTGCGTACTTCAACTTATCCACTAAGTGCAATCACAAACATCAGGAAAGAGCATATTAGAAACTGCCTGATATTTTGCCCATTAAAAGCAAAATGCTATGTATTTTTTTAATTAGGTTCTCATTTGTCCTAGCTATATTTAATTTGACTTGTTCTGTAACAAAGGAAGGTTTGCAGTAACACAGTTAACAGAAAACAGCTGTATACCACAACTTTACCTGGCAATAAAACCTCCAGCTATTGAGCCACCAAATTCAAATCAAAATACACTTAGAAGTCAGTTATGCAGTACGAGTTCAAACTAATTCGATATATAACACGTTTTCTATTTAGAATCTTCATTTGTTGTCAAACTGGAAGGCAATTTACAGATAAGCAGTTAGAACTACTTTAGTGTTTCCCCCACAGAAAACAGAGATGTTCTTTCAATTTTCACCCTAACCCGCTTTCTGCCCCTATTTTTGAAGCTCCTATTACCCTGCACTACAGAACTTGCAATGCTGAGCCCACAAATACAGCAGTTCTAATCCAAACCTCCCCTGCCCTGAGCTGCACAGCAAGCTGCTGGAACTGGCACAAAGACATCACAAAACCACACCTGTGCACTAAGTGCTGAGCCCTCAGCCAAAATACAGCAGTGGTGCTTTTCAGGCTTAGAGACACGGAAGCTCAAGCTCCACAAAAACAGCATCCCTCAACAAAATTAGTTCTGTCACGAAAAATCCCAAGGAACATTTCAAGCAGATAAACCACTGCTCAGCACTTCTCCCCGCCCTGTCCCACAGAGATGCCCACGTGGATTAGGATAAGACCACATCTGAAACGAGGAAATCAGAAACTCAAGTCTAAATAACACAAATAGTTTGCATGGTTTAGTAAAACTTGAGTCACTGCTGACACCAAAATAGAGCAACACCAACACTCCAAAGTCTCCAAAAACTTCTTCAGGTGTTTCTCCTTCCTCAGATGTTGAGAGTTCTCATCATCATGTTTCAAACCACTTAAAACCCACTTCAATGTAAGGGCACCAGAAAAAAAAAAAAGCGCTCATCTCTAGTACTAAAGATATGAGAAACACAGACTACAACAACACATGGTTTTATTAGACCAGTGCATTTCTTAGAGCAACCTACAACAAAGACCCTTTACTCAGCCCACCTATCTGTCAGCTAACAGCTTACAACTTTGCTACTTGTGTGCAATGCTCACTATGAATGTGCAGTAGAGTAAAGCTATAACGATCCCATCATAGCAAGGTGGCAAGGTCTTTGGCTGCAGCAAAAAAGAAGGAGTCCAGAGACAGCAGCCACAGATGCAGAAACAAAGGAAAAAAAGTTCCTCACCTTTGGAAGTCCTCAAGTAGTCAGGGATCTCCAGGAAGAGACACCTGGCCTCCACTGCCAACCCTTAAATGAGGTCTGAGAAGGGGTGGATCGTGGCTCCAGCCCTTCCAGTCACTCAGGTGTACCGCATGCACCTGAGCTCTCCTGGGCAGACCCTGCCTTCCCACCAGGTGCTCCATCACTGCTTCAGGCTGTGAGCCAGCATTTCCACTACAACTTGTCAAAAATGCGAGCATTTGATGTTAGCTATGCATATAGTGCCAGTAATTTCCCCAGATCTTGTAAGGCCTAAACAGAAATAGGTATTGCTTCTTCCAATTTTCATTTTGTGAAATAAGAAAGGAAAAAAAAAAGATCATGAAGAGCCTATAACAAGGCAGGAAATTTTAAAAAATAAGTGCTTAAGAGAATGGAGCAGATCATGACAGAAACCAAAACACCTGCCACAACCAGGCAGTAACTCCAGCAGTCAGGGGCACACCAGCTGTTTCTGACCTTCTTGGGATGAGTTAATACTCACACAGCGAGGGAGCCTGTGTGTCCAAAAACCTCAGCAGGACATTCTGGAAAACAGGAAGACTGGAACTTGTCAAGGAGGCCGAAGACAGAGATTCCTTTTCATCCAGGACTTCAGATTCACCACATCTCTGCAGAGTTAAATAAATAAAAAAGCGTGTGTCTATGCACAGACATGCAGAGTTCCAAAACTTACACGTGAAGTAACTATAGTGTGATTGTTTCCCATCTTTTCATAAAACCCAGTCTTGACCTAGAGTGACTTTTTTTCCCCTACTCAGTTTAGTCACTTCTGAAGTGCGGTGGTTTTTTTTTATCACTTTGGATGGCTTGCTGAGGCGTGCCTCTTACACGCACCTTCTGCAGTGATGTGCTCTCACATAAAAGCAAAAAAATTAAGATCCAGAACTTCCAGTTCAAAAGCAAAGGCAAAAAGTAGCTCCTCCCACTTGTGCAAATGACAGCACAGTACCAACCAGGGCCAATGCCTCCTCCCGAAGCCCCTCCAGGGCGGCAGCAGCACAGTCATTGCTGTGCACTCAGCATGGAGCTGAGCGCCATGGGGATGCAGCAGGGGAGGTGTTGGCTCCTGCAGGATGCAGCGTGGTCACTGACCACAACAGACAGACACAAGTTTTCGTAACGATGCCACTACAGTGTTTTGCTCTCCAATGCAACATTTTCACTTCTCCTAAAAAAGAAGGCAGTTCTACACAATGTGAGATACAAGTCACACCGCAGCTAGGCCTCAAAATAAACCCCGAGTCTGGAGCCGTCCCAGAGCCTCCAAGTGGGAGCACAGAGCCGCCCTGCGCCCCACAGAGCTCCCTCATGGCAGCATCCCAGCGGCTGGGCAAGCAGCTCGCGGACACACGGGGCTCACAAGGGCTCACAGATGCCATCCAAAACTGTAAATCAATGAGAAAATCTCCAGTGCTCCAAGTATAATCAAATTTACCTTGTTTTGCAAAGGACAGAGATTAAGGCAATCTTTCCTTAGAAATATCCTTGCTTTTTTAGTTGTACTGTTCATGCTATTCCAGATAGAGACAGGACTTACTTCTGCTTCAATTTCTGCTTGCCTTTTCTCCAGGAGTTTAGCCACCACCATGGCCCGGTGCTTCCCAGACCGCTTGCAGCTCACGGCCCACTCACACAGCAGCATCACCACGGCCTCGTCGCTGGGGGCTGCCTGTGCAGAACAGAGACAGAATGGCATCTCACATATACAGCCAGCAGGCTTAACTCTGAGCAAGGGCTTTCTGATGGATGGAGAAAGAAAGCAGGTTTTGTTCTTTATTACTAGTGGATATACAGGGGTGTTTCATTCATAGTATTTTCTAATACGATATGGAAGCAAAAGAGGAAAATCACTATTTTCTCACTGCTGAGAATCAAATCTAAACTGTCTTGTAACATAATGTCACTTCACAAGAAAAGGGCAAAATAGGAAAAATATCCAGAATCTCTCAACCACAGCTATTACACCGAGTTCATGGCTTCCTTGCACAAATTATTCCAGGCCTCCTCCATTGGCTTCCAGATCATTACCAGTACCCCACCTACACACACACACACACACAAAACAAACCCCAAAACACCACAACCACTGAAGGCGTGAGGATCAAACAACCAAAGTCAGAAAGCTCCCAACCAAACTGCTCATCTTACCTCCCACCTGCGCCTTCCTAACAGACGTTTTTAAGAACAGTACATATCCACATTTAGACAACCCATATTTTGTAAGAGCTATGCTACACACCAGCCATGCTTTGCCAGGTTATCATGCTTTTGCATTTTTGAGGGGGAAGACGGGGACAGCTTCGAAGTCTGCAATGCCTGCTGGCTCTGGCAGAAGCACTTGTTTCCAAGGGAACCCATTGCTGACGGATGGCTGTAAGTGATCATTCGCCTTCAAAATTACAGTGCGGATTCCCAAGTTCTGTATGTACACAGAAAACATCGGGGTATTCGTCCAGCCAAGAGCTGCACCCACACACCTCATACATGCTTAAAATTGGTGATTTCGGTACTTGGGAACTGGCACACACAGCAGTAAAGCCAGTTCTCAGCATACAGGTGATACTGAAACCCACTCATACAGACCTGTGTTGGCAAGGTGTCATCACCAAAACTCCACCTACACCAAGGTCATGGAACGTGGGCCATGGGCTGCAGCTGAGAGGCTGAGGAAAGTGCAGCTGAAGCAGCTGACCACACGGCACGGCTCTGCACAGTGCTGGAAGCTCCAGTGCTGGCTGCATGCTGAGCACAGGCAGCAGTGTGCTGCTCGCAGGGCCTCAGAAGCAGCCACAGCAATGCTCAGAGCAGCGTGGGAGGGCCGGGCTGCCGCCCTGCTGCACCGCTTCCTCCTCCCCTGGCGGCTCCCATGGCAGCACCTCATGATTTCCCCCTCTGATGCTGATTGTATTTACTTAATTAAGCACACCAAGAACGCAAGTCAGCAGCGCCGCTTGAAATAATCAGGTTCTGGATTTATCTAATTTGGGATTCTGCAGCTGCAGATGTTCCAGCCCCCAGAGCAGACCATGTTTCAGAGGGTGCAAACTGCTGCCTGGAAGAGCTGCACCAAGATCATGTTTTCACTCAGAGCATTTCAGGAGGACGTGGGATGGGTCTGAGCTCTGCCCAATGTCCACATTCTGCAGGGCAGATGCCAGGCAGAGCTCGAGCAGAGCTGGTCAGGGGAACAGAGCCCCTTCTTTGCCTCCAAACCTCACGTCCTGTAAGAGGAAATGCTGCATCAGACAGGGGAGCTCAACACAGCTGGTGGCACCTCGTCCTGTGGGGTTTCACCAGTTCTGGATACCTCACGCACATCCCACTGCCCAAGAGAGCTCCGCATGAGGGGGTTTGGAAGGGACTTGTGCTCAACCCTCAGTGGCCATAAACATCAGTGCCTGGGGACCGAACCCACTGCTTTTAGGCACAGAAGCTGTGTGCTTGACATCATCCCACTCAAACCCGTTGCTCAGCCAGTCTAGCTATGACAGAAGGTAGCTATCACTTTCTGAAAGCCATCAGCCTTTCAGAGAAAACCAGAGGTGTCACATCACTGCCTGTAAGCAGAGCAGTCCGTGAAGAACAAGAAAAGAGTTCTTGGGGTTTTTTCAGTTAAAAAAAAAAAAAAAAAAGCAGCAGCAGCAGAAGTAGTAATGCTTAATACTTTCCTTCCAATACTCTCCTGTGTTACCATTCTGATATACTTGGAGACAGGAAGCCAAAAGTATTATTAAAACTGCTTTTTATAACTCAGCTCTTTTCCCACTGGTCCTCACTTTTATTATTAACTCAATGCTGCTACCAAGGAACAAGTCTGACTTCTACTCCAGCAATGCCACTGCTGAGCAGCAGGCTGCAGAACCTCTTTTTGGGACAGAGCAGGCAATGCCGGGCGCAGTGCCCACTGCCCAGCACAAACCTCAGCCCCAGGAGGCTCCCCCGCCTGCCCTCGCTGCTTTCACACCTCTCAAGGACTGACCTGGCGCACGGCTCCCTGCCGCAGGGCACGCAGACGCTGTCCCAGCAGCAGCATTAGCCACTGCTCTGAAGCTGTCTAGTGCAAAAGGAAAAAACAAGCCGTGTGCTCTTGACAAGGGCTCTGCCAGTTGTTTAAGCCACTGAATTTATGTTTCTGTCCAGAGAAATTTTGCACTGACTCCCTTAGGAGCCAAGGTGAGCAGAAACGTTTTGCTGAATTTTCTGAAACCATAAAGGTAACAATAGCTGCCCAGCCACACTTCAGAACACAGAATCATAGAATCCAACAAAGTTGGAAAGGACCTACAAGATCACCAAGTCCAACCGTCCTCTCATTACCATTGCTACCACAAGCTACTAAACTGCATCTCATAGCTAACGGAGCAGTTCAAGCAGCTGAACCAATGTTAACCACATTATTTACAATACTGCAAGAACGCTCCAAATATTCTCTATTTTCTCAGTGTTTATGGAAATAGATTTTGTTTCCTCAGACAATTCAGTGTACATCTCATTTCTCCTCCCATCCTGAGTCCCAGCACACCCAGATTGGGTCCCTCAGGCAGAATCAGTCTGACTGCTAAATTCCTGCTGTCCTGAACCCAGCAGCACCACCAGCCCTCTGTTCCCACAGACACAGGGGGTGGATTTTTTGTTTCATTTCCAGCAAAGTGATCTCAGAAGGACAAATATTAACTCCCGGCATCTGTTACAAGCCCTTTCGTGAGAACCAAGTTTAAAAACATAATTTCACTCTAAAATAAAAAACAACTCTCAACATTCTAAGAATTCAGCTGGACTGCAAACATAACAGTGGACATAAGCTCTGAACACATTTCAGAGATCTGAACTTAGAAAACAATTCAAGTGCACAAATTTCCAGGAAGGTTCAAGATTTTCCATAGTGACGTCAAGAAATTCAACATCACTTCTTAAAAATCAAGTGCTTTCTCTATTCATCCAACAACAGCTAAAATATTCCGCTATGGAGTGCCATTCTCCAGTACCCCTCCCACTGCTTATGTGTGCTTATGTGTCCCTGCACTTTCCTGCACAGGCTGCTCACACAGCCCAGACAACCACTGCTGGCCAAGATGCCCTGAGCGCGGTCACAGTGTGGGGCTTCGCCATCACGGCTTCTCACAGGCTCTCTGTCACACACAGCACAACTGCTGTTTGCTATTCACTCACTGTCCAGCCACAGCTCAGCCCCTTGCTCCACTCTTTTCTTCATTTTGCTCTCCTGTCATCAGTGCCTGCAGGTCCTGTCCTCCCCTTAACGCCTCTGCACTGCCCAGGGGAACAAAGCAGCCACGGCCTGGCAGCCAGCCTGTCCCCCATCACCCTGCTGCCTCCCCTGGCCCTGCTCTTGTTGTGACACTCAGAAGTCAGCAGCATGGTTGTGTCAGGAGGCAGGAGTCCAGGGAGGACATCTCATCCACAGAACAGCAGGCTTTGCATGGGTTGCCATCTGAAGGCAGCACATACATGACCTCTGAAATTATGACACTTTCTTCCTAGGAAAAACAGCCTAAATTCATTAAGTGGGAAGAGAGTAGGTTTAAAAAAAAAGAAAGGAAACACAGGATTTTGTGTGGGAACGTGCTCATTTGCAGCCTGCAGCACAGCCTGGCAGGAGGCCCTGCTCTGCCCCAGAAGGCATCCAAAGCTACAATGGGCCCAAACCAGTGAAGTACTACTGAAACATTCAGAGTTTTCTTCTCTCAGAAGAAAAATATACATATATATATATATATATATATATATATGTGTGTGTGTGTGTGTGTGTATACATATATATATATATATATATAAAATCTTATCTGCTTTCCCTACAATCTCCTACAGCTCTTCTGCAAACACAGGGACATTACCAGTTCTGTACGATCATGTTTTATTACAGCTCAGCATTCTCCACCTCAGAGTAAATGATTACGTCATTAGAAGACTGGCAGTAAATTAATCAGACAGATCTCATAAAGGTGCTTGGTACCAAGGCTTCAAGAGTGCTGCTCAGGGCCACAGCAGGCATGTTTTCCAGGCAACCCAACTTCAGGTCATAAAGTAGCAGAAAAAAGGGGTAATAATAGCCAACAACTGACAGCAAGAACAGAACAGAGCAATCGCTGTACTTTCAGAACACGCATTACCAATACTGTGCTTCGGAGCATGAAGAAACATTCTGGAAATACAATTGCAGTTGAAGTTAGAAAAGCCTTCTGAAAAGCAGAAAGTAAGAAGGAAAGAGACACAAAAACAGAACAAATCTGACCATGGCATGAAATGACAAAGGGATTTAAAACTCAATACAGAAACCATACAAGTTATCCTTTCATCCATGAAAGAGTGAAAAAAGCCAGAGTGGACCAGGACTTTATGTCAGCTACACAATAAAAACTGTGATGATGAAATGCGTATTATAAAATCTATCAGAGAAGCTAACATTGCAACACAGACATACACAATAGTTTCAGAGCTACATGACATGCCAAGTGCTCCTATGTGCCGTGCAATTCAGGAGTTGTTATGGCTTTGAGTTAGACCGCAGGGGATCGAACTTGAAAAAACGTGGAACCTTCATGCCCAAGAAAGGCCAGGCCCAGAACAGACGACTCAAATTACTGACATTGCTGCTGCCATGAGGTGGCTGCATTTCCTCTCTCACAGTCTAAGTGTGCCCGAAATACAAACACAATCCTGCCTTGTCTCTCAGCCTACCTGCCGGTTCCACAAATATTCCCAAAGAGATCCCATCCCCCTGTCCCCACATACTGTGTTGATCTCAGCAGTCAGTACAACACTGACTAATAGTTATTACACAACGTTTCCGAGCAACACAGGCTCAAATTATGAACACCAATCACTAAGAACATACCCTCACAAACAAGAAGATGGGTATATTAAATAAAACACTTTGCCAAAAAGCTTTTACAACATTAACATCAGCAACTATGACAGATCCACTAGTATTTTCCACCTTGAAATTTTACTTTATTAATGTGTTGTTAAAACTTCTTCTTTTCCCCCAAACAATTTCCAAGTTAACTCAAAATCCAATGTTACACACAGACCCAGTGACACTGCCAGCTGCACTGTGCAGAGTGCAGTTAAAAATGTTAAAGACTTCTGATAAAGATTTTCATGATCTCTGAACACAGTCCTGGAAGCACAGGGAAAAATAAAAGTACATAACTTTAAATACACTAAAATATTCTAAAAGCTACTGATGTACAACTTTCTGCAACAGATGTAAAAGGTGTGGATATTTTACCTCATTCAGGACAGCGTTCAAGAGACAATCCAGTTAAGAATTACATTATAATGACAAAGAGCTGCTTACTTCTAATAAATGGAATCTTGAATAGTAGTGGAGAAAAACACACTGTGAAAACACACAGCTGTTGTATCAGTTCCATACACGTGCACACGCAGTTATCACAAGTAAGAATAAAATCCACGGTCTACAGATTAGGCAGTGAGAAGAGCATACAGCCATTACCTCTTGGTTATCTTTGTTCTGGTTTGCCCAGAAAATCTTATGATACAGTGTCTCCATGGAATTGCTGGAATCCGATCTGTCAAAACAGTGTCGATCCAACACTTCCAAGGTGTGCAGAACTCGGCTGATGGTCACCCCTGGATGCAGGAGTCAGAAGGGAAAGAAAAAGTTTAAATAGGATGACACTGCGGGACTTCAGGCATTGCTGGACACTACAGTTACCGGCATTAGGGGAGCAGCAGATCACATTTGATGTTCATTTCATTGTGGGCGGCTACTCAGACCCTCCATAGCCTGACTGCTACCTACTTCTTTATTTTTGTCATGGAAAAAAAGTTCCAGTACTCACTCCAAAGAGTAACTGCGTATTTTCTAACCTGTATGCTCTATATACAAATTTCCAACCAGTCTCTTTCCTACTCACTCCTATCTAAGCTGAAAACAAACTTTTTCTCACCTATCCAGCTATTCCAGGAGCCAGAGGTAACAAAGTCCAAACCTGAATTCTTAGCTTCTACCCAACATTTTCATGTTAATGTCGTTTTGCTAGTCCAAGAACTGAGGTGCAGGTGGAGAAATGCTCTATTACTGCAATGAATCACGGTGCAACGGGCTTATACTCAAAGAAAAAGAACAGATGCTAACCCTAAGACTCCCAACACTTACTTCACTACGTCTTGCCTTACCTGCAGCTGATTCTTGGCACTTGTCAAAAGACCACCGCACCTCCACAGCACGACCTCTTTGTTTTATCTGCTGTTCTACTTCATAGATCCTTGCCCGAACCTATAAATGAGGCAGTTACTAATTAGTTAGCAGTAGGAAGTCTCAATTTTCATTTCAAGCTTGTGACGGGTTCCTCAGTAGGAGCAAGGTATCTTATGATGTTCTACAACATTCCCTGTATTTGATAACAACTAACTAGAGCACGTTTGGTTCAAATGCTTTTATCTGTTAAGAACCTTCTGGTACAATAAAACTTCTTTTACTTAAGTTAAACCCAGCAGAAGTTTATTTCCAATCTGAATTTAACTTCCAATGTGAAAAGTCACAGCTCATGACATGGTACGATACACCTCCTCTTATTTGCCACTTTACGTCTTAAAGTGATCTCTGTTTAATAACTGAAAACAGCTGAACGTAAGTAAAATTACTGATATTTCCACAGAAATCGCTGACTGACATACAAACTGCAACTTGCACAATGCTAGTTTAGAAGTTGAACTACATTGATAACTACATCAATAACTCCTCTAGCTGCAGTCATGAACGCAGTCACTTCTTGGGATACGGAACAGATCTTATTTATCTCAACATTAAAAAAGTTTACCTGCTGATTAAATGTTGAGTTTCCACCTGGCATAGGTAAACTAGATGGAGCAACTTGGAGTAAATCCAGGGGTGAGCCAGGATTAATGTTCTTATTTTCATTTGTGGAATAATTCCACACCAAGGCACTTGGGCAACAAAGAGTTATAGTCTGCAAGCAACAGTACAGAACACAAGTTGTGCGTGGTAGACAAGACCAACAGTACCAATAATAAGAGAGCTAGAATCGTTTTGGGCAATTACAGAGAAAGAAACAAAAGACAAGTCCACACACACATTGAAGAAATTCAAGTGCTATGTTACTTTCCTCCCTCATTATTAAAAATTGTATTTACATATATGCACTCTCAATTCTCATTTCTACTGCCTTTATAATGCCACCAAAGAACATCACCAAAAGTTAATCCCAGACAGATCCTCTCCATGAAATGTGAACGAGTCTTAGAAAAAAGGAAGTCATGTTGGTATTCAGCTTTCAGAAAGAAGCTACACATGAAAAATTAAAATTCAAGAGACTAGAATGAATACTTCTGCCAAGTTCTAAAACACCAGACACTGAAATACACCAGAAACTTAACATTTACTTCAAAAGAGAGACACTGCATTGACAGGCTTCAAGAGGGTCCTTCTGCAGTGGCTTACCACTGGATACCTGTTAACCTGCTGCATCTACAGCTGTGCAGAGCAAAAGCAGAAAGCTTCAGTGCTTTTGGATCTGATCTTAAATATCATCTAAAGTGATGGAAGTTGCTTCATATAATTGATTTTTTATCTTTGAAGCTGCTGCAAAATTTGTTTGGAAGTTCTCCTGGTCCAAATTTGGCCTTCAAAGCAGTAGTTCAGCAAAAAGATTGCCTAGGAAAACACTTTGTTAAAAAGCTGGAGAGCTTGTCTGCCTCAGGGCCATCCTACTGACCCGCCTGGTAGTACAAAAAAAAGGGGTGGGGAAAAAACACAAAGATCATGCACACACAAGGAGGAAAAAAATAAATAGTACAGGATGAACAGAAACATTATCCTCTGTGCTGTTATCAGAGGAAAGCTGTAAGGCTGCTAAAGGCAAAGCTGTGAAGCTGTGTGAGACAGAAGCAGCCCTGTGACAGGGAGCTGCCCACCACTGGAGGAAGGTGCCCAGAGATGTGGAGGAGATACTCAAAACCCAACTGGAGATGGTCCTGGACAGTCTGCCTTGGCTGACCTTGCCTAAGCAAGGGGGATAGCTGCCTGATCTCAGAAGGTCCCACTGCACTGCCCATCCTGTGACTTTGTGGTCCCACGATCACCAGCACACTCCTGGTATGCTCTTTACAAACCTACCACCACCAATCAGTAAGTGCAAGCAAACAGTTTCTTCTGATCCACAGCTCTGAAAACTGAGCAGGTTGTGAAGGCAATAAAGCTTCCGTAGCCCTGACAAAAACAGAACTGTCCATAGTGGCACCAGGCACCCAGGACAACCTGGAGGAAGCAAGGAAACCGCCAAAGGCTTGCAGGAGTCAGTGAGGCGTTGTCTTCAGCCCAGCTGCTCCCAGCAAGGACAGGTGGGTATGCCAGGAATGAGCACGTCCACGGGTGATGAGAACACTGCTCAGCACTACTGCAGCCACAACACTCCTTCGGAGGGACGGTTCGGCCGCTCCTGTGGCAGAGCTGCTCCCTCGTGTGGCAGTGCTGCAGACAGACACACGAAGCACCAGCACCCTCAGATGCTTCCACAAGCACACCTCAGGCAGTGGCTAGCATTCCTCCTCCTGCTACCTCCACGTCCACAGTCCTCTCACTTTCCTGATGCAGCTGCATCTCAAATCACAGCCTATGCACCTCGTCAGACCCAGACAGTTCTCCAATAAACTCAACAATCGTGGCCTCCAAAACAAAGAGCAACAAGCATGGGCCTACCTGCAGCATACAACTCAGCCCATACACCAGCGAACGGTGCTGCGGGCAGGAGAGGAAATCAGAGCAGGTGAGCTGCACGGGGCTCAGCACAGGACCGGGCGCAGTCGGGCTCGGCGCTGCCAGAGGAGGGTTACTTGGTGCAATCATCACATGAGGAGGATGTGCAGCTGCCAGGCTGGGGCTGTCGCTCAGCAGCAGCGACAGGCGCCTGGCACAGAAATAAGCGAGGCGGCGGGACAGGTAAGCTGACTGAACAAACTCTTCTGAGTACTGAAATTAAAACAAAAACACACTATTTACCAGACTGCCTCCTTCACATCTTCATTTTAATCAACAATCTAACATTCAATACGCACAAAGTAGAAGGGATCACAAAAGAGTATCTAAAATGCAGATCCATACTCTTGTCCCTTAAAAATTCCCTCTGTTTTGCAGGGCCAGTTGCAGAACAGGAGTCTTCCCACCAATTTCAGTTAAGAAGGATCATAAGGTGTGAAATCTGTAATGACACCTATAGGTTTCAAACACACATCGTGTGTAAAAACGCTCACATTAATTTTAACACTACAACTCCTGGAATCATTTAACATATATGAGTCATGCTTCTGTTGACTGTGTAAATTACACAGCTTTAAAGCACACACGCACCTGCAACATGAGCGGCAGCACCAGCTTAAGAATGTCGTCATCAGCAGGTCTGATTTTTTCCAAAACATCCAGTATCCACGTCAAGTACTCGTGTCTCTCAAGCATTCCTTCCTTAAAGGATTTTAAATAACACACCACTTGTTAGCTGGGAGCGCTGAGAAAGAAAGTGTGTCGGTCCAAGTTTTATGTCATTTCTGGTCTAACTCTCGTTGCTCACAGCAGCTACCAGGACCCTCACACACCGCCCTACCAAACACCCTTATGGCAGCCCTGTGGGCAGACAGCTGTGCCCAGGTCTCAGCATCGTTTCTATTCAAGGAGAAAAGCAGCACTCATCCCTGGAGGCCTGAACCACCAGCACCGCTGCTCGAGCGCAGACAGCACTGAGTCACAGTGTCCATCGGGACTTCTGCTTACACAAAGGCACGATCTCTCCAGCTGAAGGCTGTAAGGCTGAGGACCCCGGGTGCAGTCCTGGCAGACTGCAAAGGTAAGTATGGGCAAAAATGTGTGGAGCTCAACAGCCAGATCACCGCTCTGACACCCAAGGCTTCCTATTCCATTGTGACCAGAGCCTGTCGTTAAATACACCCTTAAAAGATGGGATGATACGGGAGGAAAGAGAATAATTGAGAACATTACTGCAATAGCACTCAAGTACGCTAAGCAAATCAAAGTTTTTTCAGCTAGCAAATCTCTAAAATAAATTAGCATTTAAAATTTATTCTAGTTTTACAACACGAATTACCAGTAATATCTAAAAATATCTAAAATGCAACTTTCTAAAAATGGTGACATAAAAAAAAATCCATTCATTTCCAAAAGTATTACCTGAAACATATAAAAGGACAATTTTTCATTATATTCCCACTGCTTCAAGGCCTGTTCCATCTCTTGAGGCATCACTACAGAGCTGCTGCCTTGGCTGGAAGTCACATGATAAAACTCTGCAACCTTTGCCAGCTGCTCCCGAAGGTATCTGGTTATAATTTGAGTCCATTCTACAAAATAAGTTTACAATTAGAACGCTTCAGATGATAAAATGTTTCTGTCTCAGTGAGGATCACAACAAATTCATGTTGAAAAGTATTTATCCAAAATATTAACACGCAGTCGCATAATGCAGCACCACTGTGAATTAACAGGAGCTTTACGTGCCTCCCCTGCGCACTGCTCTCAAAGCACACATGCTGTCAAGTGTGTAAGCAGCCTGCTAGCTCAGTGTGATGTACGAGCACAGAGACAAGCCATGTCTCCAGGGAATCACCTGTCTCTTTCATCAGAGTTCAGCCTTCAGCCTCTGAACAGCTTTGAAACAGATAAATATACTTCAGTACTTCCTTCCTTCCAGAATTTATTCCCCTCTTCCCTCTTCCTTCAAAACCAGCCAACAAAAAAAATGAGCAGGACTTTGCACAAGCACTAGCATACAACACTGCCCTCTCTACAACCGCTCTGAAACTGACAGCTCCTCTGGATTTTGACTCTGATGAGAATGCACAAATTCTGAGGCAGCCTTTCAGGTCGTCCTGATCAAGACAGTGCAGAGCTCTGCAAGTGCGACTCATTCGCTCTGCTCTATGGCAGGGAAGTCACTGGGCGCTGTTCATCACACAAACCCACCAAAAGTCAGCTTTTCTTACACTTCAAAAGTGCTTTAATATTTAGGATAACTGAGAGAAATTAGTGAAAAAAGCAAACTTGCTTGATCATATACATAAAGCTTTGGGAAAAACAAAATGGTAAGGAAGGCATTCTCTGAACAGTGTAACTGGAACAGCCAGAGATTTCTGCTAGTATTTCCCAAACATCTGATGGAGTTGCATGTAACCTGCATGCAGCATGTTTTAGATGAGCTCTTCTATGAATGAACAATGCAATTACTTTGACAATCTGAATTTGCTCACTGTCAGAGTTAAGGGAACTCTGACACAACTCAGACACAGCTCTGTTCACCGATATCTATCCAGCTCAGATCTCAGCTATTGCCCTGCTTCTTCTATTCCCCTTTGAATTTGCAACTGGCAGTTCTGTCAACACATAAAGAATATACATTAAATACTTTTCTACCCAAATCTGAAATTTCTGTATGAAGTCATTGGATTTTAGTGTTTTCATACAGTTATTTAGCTACATTACTTCAAACGTTCACTCACTTTTGGAGAAACAATTCTGAATCTACCACATCACGCTTGTTTTCATGTCAAAGTAGGAAAGAAAAATTCTTACAAAGCAATTACCAATATCTCTGTGCTGCTGTTAGAAACATCACAACACAACCACCTTTCTGCTCCCCAGAGCACAGATCTAAAGCTTTAGGGGGAATGTCAAAGAATACACGATAACACACATCGAATTACATCCCCAAATAACCTAACCTGGCTCGCAGGCCACGGTGCAGGCTTACACACAGAACGCCCAGGCCAAGACCTTTACAAAGAGAAGCAGCACCTGCAGCTACTGCCTGCCTGCCCCCCACGCAGCGCTGCCCAGCTGCAGCACACCCCCAACAGGACCACGGCGTCACAGCCTCCCACCGAGTCCCTGCCTCCTACAACAGGGCACGGTCTGAAGCAAGTGCAGGACAGGGAAGCAGTGCACGAGAAAGCCTGTCAGTACTGCAGCCAGCCCTACAACTGAGGAAGGGACAAACGCATCGTATTCAGCAGCAAACCACGCCACAAGGACTCCACCTCTCCCATTTTTAAAGAAAGGAAGTGGAAGGAAAAGTCTGTTTCAGGCTCTCTTGATACAAAGCCCTGTGTGAAGGACAGAAGGCAAAGCTGAGAGCAGGAAAGATGGAGTCTTGTGGTCCTGCTAGGTAGTTCCAAAATCACTGAGATACAATTCACCCCATGCCAGCAGGAGCAGCAGCACATGGGAGCAGGGCGCTGTGCTCATCCCCCACCAAACCTCACTGCAGCACAGCAACCCACAGAGACCCAACCTGACACGACATTCTGGGCAGTTGCTATGGTGCTGCGTGGGGCAACCACAGACTGCCTCCCCCCTTGCTCTCTATCACCAGACTTTTTTCTTTTTTTTTTTTAATTAAAACTATAACAAAGAATAAGCTGAAAAAGCGTGGTAGAAGATGGTTTTTGGGCTTTATTTAGACACTCAAAGTGAAAATGAGTGTTACAAGCCTAAGAACAAAAACAAAAAACAAAACAAAGTGGTAGAAACAACAGAATGAGTTGGTAGAAAGATGCAGACATCTCTCACAGCAGAATGGAGATGCTGCAAAACAGCATCTGATCACAGATGCTTTAAGAACAAAAGAGGAAAAAGTTCATTCCAAGCAGTGGAAAAGCCATAGGTAGAGTATAAGAGCTATGAGAGCAGTTTGGTAATATTAGGGTATCTTTTGTCCCTCAGAGGTGTTCATCGTTTGGCCAGCTGTCCTGGTGTCAGACAGCGCCATTTGCCATCAGTACTTAAAATACATGCATTGTCACTTATGTTTGAAATCAGCATCTTGTTTCAGGCTTTCTAAATCAGCAGTTCAGGTTGCTCCTGGTACCACTTCGCACAGCCTTTGCCACACCTGCCCCCCCACCAAAGGCTGGGATCGGTGGGTAAGACACAGCACAGCCAACTCCTCAGCCGTGCCTGGAGACTGAGGGGCAAATCAGCTGGGAGGTGACTGAGCGGTGGGGCAGCAGCTGTGCTGCACGGCTCTTTGTATTCTTTGACACACAGTTCTAAGCAAAACCGATTAAAAAGCATTTCTAACTGCACAGGCATTAAGTAACACTGATGCAACGAACAAGAGCAGCAGGTCCTTTCAGCTATCACTACGCATTTAGATATCAGAGCTGTTTACCTACCAGTATTTGGATCAGTGGCCTGGCGTTTCTTGATTTTAGCTTCAGAAATAGCAGCATAGTAGGCACATGTCATTTTGATCAGCCATGCTGCTCGCAGCAGTGGTACAGAATATTTTGCTAAGTAAGCAAAAACATCTTCTTTTTTACTGAGAATTGGAACCTGAAATGAAACGGGAACCTGAAATGAAACAGTGCAAACAGCAGTAGATCTGCAGGTTCGCCCTGGCCTCCCCTGCTAACTGCCAGGACAGCAGCAGACCTCTTCATCAACCAGGGAAGCCTCTAGGCAAAACCCATTGCCTAGACACATACAAAGAGAATTGACAATACAAAAGAGCCACCCCACGCTTTCCCAAGGTTACACCTGGTAACATCCTTTCCCAGCTCTGAGATGCCTACAGGGCCACTAGCAAACCTCTCAATTCTGCCAAGGACATCCAAAGTGCAGAAAGAGGCCTGCAAGCTGATCTTCAGAACATCTGCAAAATAAAGATAGGTCAAGATTTTGGTTAAGAGTTCAGTTGCACAGATGCTCTCTGTATCTTCAGCGCCTCTGGTTAGAGCCTGTAATGATGGAGTGTGCCAGGGAAGCAAGCTGGCCAGCTGTGACACCTGCCCACATGCAGAACAGGGTTGGTCCCACAAGACTTCAGGATGAAAAGTCCCCCTGTGCTGTCCCCCTTCTGCACAAAGTTAGCACCACTTCCAAAAGCATTGTTAAATATGAGAAAAAGACATTTCATAACCAGTGGAGACAGAAGGGAATGGAGGCACAAATGCTGCACTACCAAAATGCCTGGAGGAAAAAAGGTGCATCAATGCAGCAAACAAAGCACAGATCGTTTTCAGTAAGATTCCTCTGAGGTCACTCTAGGGACTCTACCCAGTTAGTTTCACGGGGCTTTTAACATGCTTGTACACCCTTGTTCAGTTCCTCATAACTCCATTTCTGTTTTTGTTTTTTTAAAGCATAAACAATGAAAGAAATCTGTGTAGTGCTTCTATTCATAACGTTAACATCTAACAGGGTTAAAGGAAAACTCTGTATTAGCAGTATGCTTGCCACAGAAAAGCGTGTTTTGCTGGTGACCCTACTGGTGGCAAAGCAGCTCATGTTCTTTATCAACCAGTTACTTACACTTCACTGGTGGGATGAACACATGTGTTTGGGACCTCTAGATTCAAACTGAATTGTTCAGTTTATTCTCCTCTTTGTTAAGGAACTGCAGAATGCTAAGACAAGGAATAAAATTTAAGAGCTCAATGTTATTCTTTGCTAGCAAAATCTCATTAGTTGTGCATTACTCTTACCTCAGTAAAAAAGGCACAAAGGGTACAAAATTATAGACTTACTTTTTTTTGAAAGCAGATATATCTGAAACTCTAAACCTTTTATGAATAAAAGGAATGTTTTATGAATACTGCCTTATCCTTATAGACCAGTTCATTACAATTCAACATCCAAGAAATAGGAGCAGTACTCTTATACCTTTTTTGCTAACACAGTCAGTGGTTTACTTCCTGCTAAATCTGTGAACCAGTTGTGAATTGCACTCTGAGAGCGAGCAGTAACCAGCCAGTAGTTGTCTTTGGCATTTACTTGTGGTTTCTTCTTTCCTGTGTCCTGGAACGTGTTAAGTTTTAGCTTTTCTGCTAATATGCTGCTGAAGTAGGCGCCAATCTGGTGGGTAAAAAGAAAAACAAACACAGTATGACAAGGCAGTTAGCAAGCTTCTACTGCACATGAACGCACAGGGGACTTCCATCTCTATAGAGATCCATCGCGCCAGTCCAGGCTATCAGCCTAATGAGATTACACTTCAATTCCTCGCGGACAGAAGATGGAGATCCTGGCACTAAGTACCCCTGCAACACTTCTGCAGTATCAGCAAAGAAGCTGCACAACACCAAAACCAAGGCAAAGAAGACCAGGCCTCGAAGATACCAGAGACACAGCTACCACTTAGGACTGGGCTGCAAGTCCCCTGAGCCACATCACACCAAGGGCTGCACAGCTCAGATTTGGGACCTGGCTCAGTGTATCCCACAACTGCCTGAGAGCATCCCTCCTTTCAGCATTCTAGCACACCACAGGCTATATACCTGGTTTTCACTTCTATTAAGAGCAAGTCTTACTGTCACAACAACTGCATTCATTGTCTTTCCATCACCCGTTACAGCAGGCAAAAATGCCACGATTTGGACAAGCTGCTGAGTCCTGACTCCTACTAACACTGCCTCCACTACCACTCCATAGCTTCCAAATGAAAAATACCATAAGATTGCCCTCCCCAGCAGTTTCAATCCCAAAGCAGCATGCAAAAAAAAAAATTAAAAAAAAAGCCCAAGAAAGGTTCGAATTGCTGTGCAAGGTCATTTGCATATCAAGGTTACTGCAATAGAAATTAATTTTCAGGTTTGCCAGTTAGAATAAGACATTCGATTTTCTAATAAGTATACTTGCAGATTCTGAGCTTATCTTGATAATTCTTCCAAACAACTATAAGCAATTCCTTGTGAATTTTTATTTGAGTTCTCAGCTACACTCAGTAGTCAAAACAAGATTAATTAAAATAGCAGACAGTAAGTACTTGCAGGTGGCAACTCCAGACAAACAAAACCAGAAGAATGTAACAGGAAACTCTTTACCATCCCAACAGTAACAATAGGAACCTTGTAATTTACTTGTATCACTTCTCATTTCAGATTTACTCACTGCTAAAATAAAAGAGCATCACTGTAGAAGTAAATTTGCATTTTCCAATAAGCCATGAAATGTTACACATTTTAAGAGTCAAACAGCAGAAAATTACTTTGTCAGAAAACATTTTAGACAATTTTGATAGCTTGTGTGCCAGCTTCCCTCTGCAGACTGATAACAGCAGGTAGCAGAAACGCCGCACAGCGTTCCTATATTCTGTAATTAACTTCAACACGAAGACTTCCAACTAGAAAGCAAAGCAGTCAAGAACCAAGTGTAACCATCGCCAGCTAGGGAGCAAGTTAAGTGAACGTTCGGACTGAAAAGGCCCGTCCTACCTTAGAGGCGTTGATGACGACGTTTCTAGCAGAACCGTGCTCATCTCCAGAGAAGGCAGGCTGATTACTGAAGCCTTGCTTTACATTCACCGCAGTAAGTTCATCCTGCAGTGCCGCAAGGGTGAAAAATGAAACGACAGTTTAGGATGTCACATCACTCCGAGCAGCATGCTTTTATAAAGAAGTTTCATGTAATTGCTAGGCCCTCGCAGCTGAACAACCCTTGAAACGTACTGTGTGCTCACACGAATCTAGTGAGGAGAAACTCCATGTTCTCCTGCTCCCATTAAGTGCTCTCCTCACTGCAGACCTCAAGGCCGTAACGCGGTAAGGACGCAGGCTGTGCTGCTGGAAGAGGACTGCTGCCAGGGGAAGGCAGCAGAAAGCAAGGCCTGCTCTCCTTGCTTGGGCTGTCTGTGGCTCATCCTGAGGCCCCGCTGTCAGGCAGCAGGGTCAGAGAGCAGGGCTGCTTGGGCAGGGAGCTTGGGCAGCTGGGGAGCCTGCCTGCAGCGCAGCCTGAGCACACGCTGGGGAGCTCACAGGGCCCTCCCTGAGAAGGCAGGACCTGCCATCAGCAAACAAACCACCTGCCCCAAAGGTGCTTCACCAGCTCCACAAGGTCAGGATAAAAGCAATCCCCGAGATTTCTAGCAGATTTACGGGGGGCAACCTATGGAAACAAAGAGCATCTGCCACGCCACCAAGTAAACAAGACAGGACAAAATAAAATAAGAAGACAGCAACTTCATTGGATTTCCTTACTTAGTTTTGGAAACGTGCATCCTCCAAAGTAGCAACCCAGAAGCTTCCATTCGTTTTACTTTCTTGTGCTTTGCAACACGCTTTGCTTTGCGGTACTTTCACAGAGTTTGGGAGCAACACAGAAGACAGCACTGTATTTAGAAGAAATTTCAGCCCTCTAGGGTTTAGGAAGTTAGCGAGCCTCATCTAAATTGTAAATGAAATCAACAAGAAGTGGTGGAACGCTCCTCCACCCACACTATCCCCAAGACAGCCTTGAAAACAGATGAATGCAGAGATGAAAACCATAAAAGAGATTATAAGCAAATAAATAAAAGGTAAATGGCAAACAGATGGAGGTCTGTGTTACTATTAGAACCATATCCATAGATGACCCCAGTTCTGCTATCTTTAAACTCTTACTTTTCTGAAAAAAGCTGTCTAGATATCACCATACTGAAAATAACCAAGAGCCGTATGTCCTACAGCTGCAACCACTGCCGTGGGAGCCAGCTGGGATGGGCTGACAGCACAAACACAGCGACGTTTTGTTTTGTTTTTTACATTTGGCTCTGGTTATTAGTACAACTTCTCCTGCCTTCAGCAGGGGCTCAGAAATTTTAAACACGGAACACAGGACAGTTACAAACGCAAACACCAGCCAGCAAATAAACAGATAACACCACCTGGGAGCACAACGCGAAGAGTTCAGCTGAATGCTCACAGGAGCTCTCCTGATGTCTCACCTCACCCCATTAATGGGCTCAGGGTCGTTATTTTCCAGCGCAGCTGTTCCAGTGGAAGGCAAAACTCCCTACACAGAGCAGCAGCACAGCTAAGTAAGTATCCTTCCCTTGGCTGGATCTGCAAGTCCCTTCACAAGGACAAACACAGGAATGCCGCACGACGCGGCCCCTCACTATGCTGTGTGCACCAGACCCTCCTGGCTCCTGCAGGGACAGTGAGCTTCTTCACAAACATTAAGAAGGGTCCAACCAAGACCAGTCAAGGCTTAAAATGGTTCTGAAATTTAAACCGCCAAATAAACACGCAGACAGATGGTAAAAACCCAACAGACAGCGAACAGAGCTCTGTTAGCACTGTGGGACGAGTCAAACTGAAGAATTTTTCAAACACATTTTTGTCCCCCTCACCCCAAAACTTTCCTTCAGAGAGAAACCTAAGAGTTCACATTAGACTCGTGAAAGGAGTGCTGCTGATCTGAACGCAGCCGTTCCTTTTAGATGCACTCTTTGTCCCCATCTCTGCCCCATGTCTCTCCCACACGCAGGTCCCACTTTCAGCAGAGCCGCAGCCACCGCTGAGACCTCGGTGCTGTGAGGAGGGGCCGGCACTGCGCCCTGCGCCCTGCATTGCAACAGCGGCCACAGAGCCCAGCTGGGCCGGGCCCGCACTGCTGGATGTTGGGTTTGTTCTGAGCAGCAGCCCCCTAAAAGGTATCCCACCAGTTACACATTGACGAGCAACCCGTGCTTCAAAAGAAGGAGAAGAAATTATCACACACAGAGGAGCGGTACCCCTGGATCCCAGCCGGCGCCGATGGAAGCCGCACACAGCCCTGCGCTGAGGCTCCGTCCCGCAGCCCGGCTCAGCTCACAGCAGCCCTGTGCGCCGGGCCAGGACCACGCGCAGAGAAACCTATTGCAAAAGTACTTCTAACCGCTCAAACGCCAACTTTATTTCAGCACGACAGGCGCAGCAGCGTAAGGATGAAAAGCAGAAGGACGCTGGAGGGCAGAACGGGCAGAGATGCCCCAGGGGTCGGCAGAGGGCCGTAACGTGCACATTTCTCTGCGTCAGCCCAGGCCGCTGCCAACGCAGCCGGAGGGACGCCGGTCAGCCATCGGCCTCAACGGCCCGCTTTCCGGACGTCTCAAAAGCAGACGGGCCAAGAGGGCAGCGACGAACCCGCCCTGCCGGACCGCAGCGGCCGCTCCTCCGGCCCCATCAGCCCGGCGGGTCGGGGCACGAAGGGAGCGCAGGGAAGCAGCGCGGGAGTGCAGCCCGGGGCAGGGAGCGGGGAGCGGCTGCGTGCGGCGGCCACGAAGGCTCCGAGATTCGCGCCGCCGCGCTGACGCGGCCCGACCCGAGGCCTCTCCCGGCCACCCGGAGGAACGGCGGACGGGAAGCGCCGCGCGCCGAGCCCTGCGCTCCGCGGACGCGCGGAGCAGAACAGCCCCCGTCCTACGCTGCGCGCGGCCGCCGGGTCCCCGCGGCCGGGCCGCGGCACCCAGCCGCCCTCGCACCGGGCCGGGCCCCGCGGGCGCCGCGTTGCGTTTGGAAACGCGGTCGAAGCTCCGCTCGGGGCCGCGGAGCCCTTCGACCGCGGCCGCCTCTCCGCCCCGCCGCGCCAGCAGCCGCGGCCCCGCACGGCCCGGCCCCGTCCCACCCCCAGCTCGCCGCAGAAAATGCAAGTCAGCGGCGGCTCCGCAACGCCCGACGCCGCTCAAAAGTTTCGGGGGAGGCGCCGGGCCGGGAGCCGAGGGCGGCGGCCGGGAGCGGGGCGGGCCGGGCCGGGCCCCGTGCAGCCGGCACAGCGCGGCACTGCATGGAGCGGAGCGGCACGGCACTGCACGGAGCGGCACGGCACGGCGCGGCTCACCTCCTTCTGGCGCGGGTCCTGCGGATAGACGTCGGGCGGCCCCAGGCGCGGCCGCTTGAGCGGTCTCTGCTCATAGCTGAGGAGCCCGAAGGCGGCCATGATCGCTCATGTTCGCCGCGCGGCGGGCGGGCGCTGGAGCGGGCTCCGAGCGGCAGGGAGCAGCACTCGGCTCTCGCCCCCCGCCTCAGCCCCCGCCGCGCCGGGGGTTGGGCTGCGCGCCGCCGCCGAGGCCGGGCACGGGGCGGGGGCGGCTCAGCTCCGCGCGCCTCGCGCCGGGCACGCCGCCCTGCGGAGCCGGCCGTGACGCCGCCCCGGCCCTCCCGTGGCCCCGGGTGAGCGCTCCCGTGCCCCGGCCCGGCGTGCTCGCTCGCGGTGTCGCTCTCCCATTCGCGACACCGTTAATTTTAGCGAGCGAATAATTCGCCGAGGACGATCGATCGATCGCCGCCTCGGCCGGCTCCTGGCTCCCGGCCGGCAGCACGCTCCCGGCTCTGCGGCTCCCCGCGCTGCCCCGTCGCCTCCCCGGGAGGAGATCGGGCCGCGCCCCCGGCCGGGCATTGCGGCGGCATCCGGCGTGCGGCCCCGCCACGCGCTGTCCCGGCCTGGCCCGGACCCGCGGCTGCGGCACGCGCTGTGCCTCCTGCGGGCGGAGCGGCGCGCGGCTCGGCGCTGCCCAGGGCTCCCGCTGCCCCAGGGCCGGGCGGTGAGGATGCCGGCAGAGCCGTTGGTGCCGGCTAACATCTCCGGAATAAAAGCGGCCGCAGCTTCTGCCTTAGGCTCCCTCCGTGCCCCAGAGACGCTTACCTCCCTCCCTGAAGCAGGACTGCGGCCTCTGTCCCAGCTTGCATCGTGTCCTGCAGCACAGAGGCATCCTCCTCTCTCAGCTCAGGGCCCATCTTCCAATCCGCTGCGCTGACAGCTGCATTACTGCATCAGCACTGTAAAAGCACAGAAACTATTTTTCCCCTTTCTATCCACTGCTTTTACCAGATCCTCTCCTCGTGCTGCATCCCCAGGACAGCACACACACACAATGTATTTTAGAAACACTGGGTCAAACGGCGAGTTGCAAACAGTTCTGAATGCACTTAATAACAGTACTCTGCAAGTTAATTAAGAGATTACTATTGCCAAAAGCAGGAAATATAGGCAAACTACATTTCTTTGTCTCTAAGCAATTATATATATATATATTCAAAACTCAAGATAAATTAAAAGATGAAGCTAAATTAGGCAGCTCTGGTTTGGGACACTTTCCCAACAGCTCTTCTGACCATACTTGGCCCAAAGCCACATCCCACAGACCAGCATCTCCTCAATCCCACCAGCGGGTAAATCCAGAACATCTCCTCAGTGATGCTGGCATGCAGAATAGCAAAACCACTGTTGTGACCCCTAGCTTTGGTAAGGTTCACATCACGCGTATTTTAAGATTAGGTGTTTGACAAAGTCTGGATGTATTCAAACACACGTCTCCATCTTCCAAAGATTTAGGTGAAGCAGAATGTCTGACAGCTGCTTACTAGCCCTCTGTTCTGTACTGATTTCCCTGTGCTTTACATGCTGTGTACTCTTGTCTTTTGAGCCTACAAACATCGTGGTCTGGAGCTTTAGTTTCTTCCTCCTCAAGAAGCACAGCAGTTGGACCCAGGTCAGCTGGCCCTGTTCAGAGGAACCGGCTTCTTGCTCATAGGAGGCTTCCTCAGAGTAATGATCCTTGGGAAAAACCCCTGCAGTTGTTGCTTTGGGGATTTTCTAGCATGTTCTGTGCCCTGTAACACTCGTGCTGCAGAATGCCTCAGGAGCATTCCCAGTTCATTCATAAAAGCATGGAATTTTCAAAGGCATAAAATACTGCTGCGTTTGAAAACGCCACCAGAAGGCTGAATCGTGACACAAATTCAGCAGCAATATGACTGCAATGAGATTATTTATTTCCCCCCATTAAATTCTTCCTACAAACCTGTTAGATATATACACATAGGCTCAGGCCTTTGCTCTCGTTGCTGTTTTGTGTGATAGCTGTGCCTCAATGCTGCGGTCCCTCTCCACGCAGCAGTCAGCGCGTTCTGAGCGTCCCCATCACCGTTCCCAGCCTCCCCTCAGCGCCGAGCACAGCGCCATCTCCCGGTTACTCGCAATGATCACAGCAAAAGGCGCAGCTTTAAGCTCGGCTTAAATAATCGTTCACCTGCACACCGCCTTGCTTCCTTTTAATTCTATGGAGCGTTCCTGCTGCAGACAGGCATACAGGTAACAAACCACCCCTGAACTGATCCGATCAGAGAACAGAAAGGGGGAAAAAAAACCAAAGCCCTGTTTGGCTCCAAACGTGGGTCCGATCAGCTCCTGGAGGGGCAGCGGGGACAGGACAGGCGCCGGGCCCACGCCACGTGAGCACGCACGCAGGAGCCGCCGGGTGCAGGTGGGGTCACCCGGCCCAGCCCGAGCTCCATGCTGCCCTCCCCTGCACTGGGGCGGCTGCCGTAACGAGCAGAGCAGCTCGGCACCGCCGGCTCTGAGGGATTCCCAGCACACAGAGCCCTCTGAAAGCCTCCCTTCTGCACGGCCAATAGCTCAACGGGCAGCCAAGCCCGGCCCTGTCACAGCCTGCCCAACCAGACAGCCGGGCAGCGGAGCGCTCGTTGAATTACGCGTTCCTCGTTACCTTACTCCTCCACTATCAAGTGACACCGAGGACGGACCGCATCGCTCCGCAGTCCGTTCGAGGCTCAGTTAGAGCTGCAGGAGGATGGGGAGGAGCGCACGCTGCCGGCGCCTCCCGGCGATGGGCACCGCGGCAGCCCCCCGCTGAGAGCGCAGCCCGCGCAGCGCCATGCCCGCCCCGCAGAAGAAAATCCTCTTCTGCCTGGCTGGGGCGTTCAGCTTCGTGTGCGCCCTGGGGACCGCAGCCGCCATCGGCACCCAGCTGTGGGTGAGGGGAACCATCCTCTGCAAGACGGGCGCGCTGCTGGTCAACGCCACCGGGCCGGAGCTGGAGAAGTTCATCGGGGAGATCCGCTATGGGCTCTTCCACGGCGAGCGAGTGAGGCAGTGCGGGCTCGGGGGGAGGCCCTTCCAGTTCTCATGTGAGTAACAGAGGCGCCTTAATGACTGAATGCTGCTCGGGGCTGGGAGGACCGACCCTGTACCTCACAGGGCTCAACAGGAGAAAAATGCTCTAAAGCCAAATGCTGCTCTTCATCTTTTAGTTTTCAGCTTTAAATTACTTTTTTTTTTTCCTGACACTAGCAAAGCTTGCTAACATTTTCAGCAATCTATGTTTCGATTACAGTCATTCACATTTGAAAAATATATATGCTATTACTTTGAATATTTTTGTTTTCCAATTAATCTTTGTCATCCTCCTGTGTGTGCCAATGCCAAGACCTCTGTTCTGTTACAAAAGACAAACTAAGCTAGCAGGAATCCCACAAAGGAGCTGAGGCATAGATGCACACTGCTGCTGAAGCAAAGCAGCCAGAAGTTTGCAGTCTGCAGTACGGACTGAGAACTGCTCACATGTTACTGGCTGACATTCAGTCAACTGATGTGCAAATTGAGCTTGGTACCCAACATACCAAATTTTACCAAAGATTGTTAGAAATGGTTTCGCTTTACACGTGATACTTATAACCTCTCATCCCTAAGGATAAGGTCGATAGAATGATGCAGGAAAGACAGTTTGCCTTTAGCAGCTCACAGTCACCTCCTACAACATACCCTGCATGCCACCCGCAGTTATTACAAAACACATTTTGGGAGCAATCTGCTAAAACAGCTCCAAGAAGTACTCCGGTGAAGTTTACCCCCACTGTAGCTGTACACTTTCCATCTCTGCTCAGAAGTGTCATCTAACCAAAGTTTGTTACGCACACATTCATTGCACCAAGCAGAATGCACACGAGGAGCACACCAACGTCTGTGCTGCACAGCGGCGGCACATTCCCGCATGGCTGGTGCCTGCGGTGTGCTTTGTCTGCAGGCTGAGCTGCAGGAGCCCAGCAGGGCAGGCTGTGAGCTCTCACCAACTGGCCATGAGAATGTTGGCATTTTCATTACAATTTGTTCTCTGATCATCTTCTGTTTAGATTAAAGAGCAAATACAACACTGCTACTCCAGTAGGGCTCAGAGATCCATGTGCATCCCAGGCTGCAGCACGGCCACACAGCAGTGCCATGTGTGGTGATGCTCATCAGTGTGTCTAAGAGAAATGGCGTATAAAATAGGCCAAGTGATTGAGTTCAGTGTTTGTTCCACTAAACGCTCCCCCCTGACCACTACATCTCTTTTAATTGTGAAATGGATTTGCTCTGCCAGCAAGCTCTGCTCAGCCAGGAAAGGCCTTCTGCCTCATTTACTCCTGCTGCTTCTCATCAGTTTCTAGGTCAGCAGTTCATTTTCTAAAGGTCGCAGGCTTGCACACTAACACAGTATTTCATTCATTACTGGGCGTGCTTTTCTTGCAAGATGGTATTGCTGCTGAAATTAATTTTTCTCTGATATGTCACAAAATTGTAGTGACAAAAACTATAAATGCGGGTGCCAAGGGAAAGATCCAGCACAGTGCAGTAACTTCTCCTTAAAGAACAAAATCCCATATCAATAAATCGAGTTGTTGTTCTCCATCTTCTCTCAGCTCATTCCCTTGCTTTTTGGGCCTTCTGCTTCAGATATGATGCATCCCTTGAGCTTTTTACTCACAGACACAGGACAGGAACCCCATCTTCAGGGTGTCCACATCTCCCCTTGGCTGCAGCTCCTGATGGGCACTGCACATAGCAGGGGGTTGAAACTAGACAGTCATTGTGGCCCTTTGCAACCCAGGCCATTCTATGATTCTATGACGGATTGTATGACTCACCTTCAGGATGACTTTGGGAGCACAAAGAGAACTTCGGGGCTTCCTGTGTGCCCCTCCAGTGAGATCAGTAGTGGGGGTGGAGGACAGACTGCACTTGGGAAAGCATAGTTTGAAGCAATAAGCACAGATTAGCAGGAAGGCCTGGGCATGACTTCCAAATTAACCTTGCTTAATGTTTATAATATTTTGTAACTTCACTTTTAGTTTTTCCAGACTTGCTCAAGATTATCCCTGCGAGCATCCACGTCAGCGTCATTCTCTTCTGCACAGTGCTGATCATCTTCACGCTGGTGGGAACGGGCTTTTTCCTGTACAATGCCTTCGGCAGCCCCTACGAAACACTGCATGGCCCCGTGGGGCTGTACCTGTGGAGCTTCATCGCCTGTGAGTACCCTCTGCAGGCTGCGCATCCACTGCAGCGTGCAGCCACGGCACAGGGACCAAACAGAGCGTGAGGGCGGGCAGGAGGGGCTGGTTTTGCTGCACGGCTTTGTGCACGGCAGAGCAGAGCACGGGGCACGGATGCTGCCCATGGTGTGTTGGCAGCAGGGTGGGTGGGAGCCAACCCCCAGTAGCAGGGCAGTTCCAGCAGCCCAAAGGCCCCAGGGATGCCGCGCTGTTCCTGCAGGGACCGCACCGATGGGCATCTTGCGCTCCTTCCAGGTTCCTGCGGCTGCCTCATCATGATCCTCTTCTCCTCCGAGGTGAAGATCCACCACCTCTCAGAGAAAATTGCTAACTTTAAGGAGAAAAGTTTCACGTTTAAGACCCACAGTGAACGGTTTGCAGACTCCTTCTGGATCATCCTGGCCTGCTCCCTGGTGCACTTCCTCAACACGCTGCTGATACGCCTGGCCGGGTTTGAGTTCCCCTTCTCTAAACCCAAGGACTCGGGGACAGCCACTGGTGCCGCAGACCTGATGTACTAGAGTCACACAGAGTGAGGACAGAGGTGTTCATCACTGCTGCCCTCAGCAGCCGCCACCCACACCAGCTTTTAAGGAAGTTAAAAACAAGAGAAGGTTTCAGATAACTGTTGTGTGACACACGCAGTAAATAAAAGATAACGTGCTAGTTGATAAACCCAGATCAGAATACCCTTTCTCTCTTGGACTAAAGCCTTACTGAGGCATCTGCTTCTCTTTCCTCCAGAGCTGATTCGAAAAGCAGCTGCTGTGAACAGAACAGAGAACTCAACAGCACAGAGCTGGCACAGAGGCACAGCAAGGGGATTGCCATGCAGCCACCTCCCATCACCAGCACATCTTGACCCACTTGCAGCTCTCAGGGAGCCACAGCACAACCCCTGCAGCATTGGGCAGCAGGGGACAGGGCAGGGAGGAGTGCCCGCTCTGCTTCTGGCACCAGCCCTGCCACAGACTCGCAGGGGAAGACAGCATGAGGGCAGGGGATGCCCAGCCCCCGAGTGCCCTGCTGACACCACACAGAGGCATCATTTCTATCCATAAAGAGTTCTGAGCTTTAAAAACCTAATCTTTAACTCCCCAGAGCTCCATTTTGTAGAGCAATCCACACAGCAAGAGCTTTGTGCCTCAGGATAAGGTGCTGTATGCAGCAATATAACGCACTCACACTGCTGCACCCCAAGATGAGGGGTGAACCCAGGGGCAGAGCAACATGAGCTCAAACCCAGCAGCACCCACCAGGGCTATGAGGATCTGCTGCCAGCAGGCAGCAAGTTGTCACCAAGAAGCACAAATAAACACAGACAAAATGGGCTGAAACACCACAGCCAGCACACGCATGCTGCAGCAGACCAGGCACTGACAAGGGAAAGCCTGAGAGTCTCCAACACAAGCAGTGATGAAACTTTGAGCAAATGGATGTATTTGCCTCTAAGCCCTTACCTCCCAGTCAGGCAAGGTGCTCCAGCCACTCACCAGATGCACTGTGCTCACCCCCCAACCACAGGTGCACAGAAGGGCTTCATCCTTCCAACGCTGCTGCACAGGGACACCACACAGAGCACTCAGCAGAAGAGGAGCCAGGGGGACCTGCCCAGCTCCCATTTATCTGCAGAGGTCAGCTCCTGCACAGCTGTGTGCCATGAGCAATCCTCTCACAGCCACATGCAGCAGCCCCAGCATGCAGGGCCTGGTTCTGGGAGCCCCAAGCTGCAGTGGTGTGCAGGCTGACCTTGCTGATACAGAGACCCATTTTTATACTTTCACCACGAATGGCAAAACATTCAGTGCTGGCTGCTGGCTCTGCCTGTGCGACGTTTGGCACCCACAGCCCTGCTCCTCTGAGCCTCTTACAGAGCAGCTTTGGCCTGGGCTGTGCGATGCACGCCTTGTTCCTAAGCGTGTGCAACGGTGTCTGCAAGGTGCCATGACCACCTACAGTTCATTTATAATTCTCTTCCTAATTAATATGTGTGCCTTTATTAATTAATGACAGTATGTCTTTTTGACACGTAATTTCTACCACGTTCCACTGTATTATTTACTAAACCACAATTAATGAGGAGTAATATTCCACCCTCCCTGCTCCTGGTGTTGCATGGATTGTCCTCCTCTGCAGTACTGCTGCCCACTGGTGGGGGGATCAGGCCGCTCTCAGTTCTGTGTCCATCATAGATGCCCCTGCCTGCTCTGAAGGAGCAACATTTGTAAAATAAAGAACTGCACAGACCTGCCTCAGTGCTGACGGGCAGCCCACTCCAGTCACATTTGTTGTGCGGTAGAGAAGGGCCCAGCTGCTGGGGAGCCCTTCACAAAGAGCGCTTCCATCCCACTCCATCTCATCCCCATCCCGACCCATCCCACCCTACCCACAACCGTGAGACCAGCTGTTACTGCCATCCTTGCCCAGTTCCCAAGGCAAACAGAGCAGCTGATCAGCAAACCAAGCTGGGGCACTGTGTGTCTGAGCACCCAATGCAGCAGCTGCAGCACGCGTGGTGCTCCGCTCGTGCTCCTGGATGAACACCAGCAAACACCAGCAAACACCAGCATGCGCTCTGTGCTTCATTGTGAATCCACGAGCATCAGCTACAGCTTTTCCCTGTGTCGTTTCTAGAATGGTATTTTTCATGCTTAAAAAAAAAAACAAATAGTGAGGAGAAATATCTGAATATATTTTGAAAGTTTTCCTGAAAATTCAGATCTTTTATTATCACAATAAAAAATAGCACACAGGTGTGTCTGTACATCTAAACAGTGTTAGAAGTACGCACGGACTGGCTGGGGTGGGAGTCAGGCTCCTCCAGGGGTCGGGTTCTGAGCAGGGAGCACAGAGCGTGTCCGACGCTCATTAAAGTTTAATCAGCAGCAGGCAGACGAGAGGACGAGGGCTGTGCAGTGGGCAACTGGCTCTGCTCCCCTCTGCTGCACACCAGAGGGTGCCAATGGGGGAGCGAGGGCTGAGCACACGGAGCATGCAGTGCACACTGCTCACAGCTGAGCAGACGATGCATGCTGCACACAGTGAGCACACGGTGCCCCAAGCAGCTCTGGATGAGATCTCCAGCAGAATTTCAGATCTAGACAAATGGAGAAAAATTTTCAGTTTCTGTGGGTAAGTTTTTTAGTCCGCTTCATTATTATTGCATTCTAAATTCCAGAGTTCTAAAATGTTGTTAATTTTAATATGGCTTTTTGTGATGTGTTGTTATTATTACTAATATTATGTTGTATATTGTTAGTAAAAGCAGCAGCTTTTACTCGCTTTCTCTCCTGCACTTCTCTTCTGGCTGCCTCCCATTTCCAAATGCATTACAACACCTCTATTTTCTTTTAATGTGCATCTCCTTTCCCTTTGCAGCCGGGAAGGCAGTCAGACCAGCCCCCAGGTGGGTGTTTCTCTCTCGGTTGTGCTGTGCTCTCATCCCCAGGCACTGCAGTCCCTCTGCGGTGCCCACACCGACATGCTCACACTCCTCTGGACACGTGTGTGTGCTTCGTGTTTTCTAAAGGGCCGTTTTCCCAGTCTGAACCAAAGCAGCAGGGCAGAACGTAAATTACCCTTTCTGACCCTGCTTAACAGTTTTTGTGGCCAATTTAAGAACATGGGGAAAAAAGCTATGAAATGAAGAACTACTCAATGTGTTTGGACCCTGCCCTGCGCTCAGGCTGACAAACACAGACATTCACATCCTGAAGTCTAAACATTCTTCCACACCATAATCATTCACTTCTGTGGGAGTTGTTTTCAGCAGTGGGAACCAGTTGGAAGTGATGCACAGACATGTATTTACCCGACACAGATGTGCCTGAGCTGCACGCCCTCATGGTTCATACGCAGTGCAATGACTCAGGACTGCAACTGATATTTGGAAGTGAACACCTCACACCTGTTAGAACAACAATTTGTAAACAAAACCTGATTGAATTTGCCCTGTTAGAAGCAGGAGGAATATCCGCGGTTGCTGTTGGTTTGTTAGCACTCCAAAACACTGCAGAGTTCAGCTGCTCAGCTTTGTGCCCACAGATGGCAGCTGCTGGTGAAGGGCGGTGAGGGCTGAGCACAGCACAGGAGGGCAGGGAGCGAGCGGGAGCTGGGAGGAGGGAGCCTGGAGCAGTGAACCCCCAGCAGTGGCTCTGTATCCCTGCAGGGACCTGCGAGCTGTGGGCACGGAGCAGTGAGCACCACAGGAGCCCTGGAGCCGCGTGTGACACCTGCAGAGCCCCAGCATGCGGGGCGGCCCATCTCCATGGACATGGCAATGGTGAGCAGCACGGGCAGCATGGAACCTGACCCAGAGCTGGCAGTGTGTGAGGGCTGTGGGCTGCTGCTGCTGCTTACAGAGTTACCATCATTACTTGTGTATGAGGCTCCCAAAGAGGGTGGCTGTAACACATACTCATAATTCCAGTTGCTGCCAGGCATGCCCCTGCCTCCCAGGGCTTTCCTAGGTACCAGCTGTGAGAGGCAGGAGGCTCAGCAGCAGGAGAGCACTTCTAAGCTGCCAAATACCAAAAGGTTCTGAGACTGTCAGTGCTTGGTGCCTGGGCCCCAGAATCTGACCAGTGTTCTGTGGGCGATGGGTCCAGCACCAACCTTATGTGTGTGACCTCTGACACAACCCCACCACTGTGGTATAAATGTAATAAAAAGCTCAGGGTGTGAAACTGGAGGTGAAACCTTGCAGGAGAGGTGGTGCAGACCACAACCAGGGAAGTCCCATCCCGGAGAGAGTCAAACACAGCCCTCGCTTAGGGTCAGAGCCACAGCTCCCCCAGCCCGTGGCCAAGCACAGCCCCACAGCTCCCCATCCCCACAACTCCCCCAGCCCCAGCCTGTGGCCGAGGACAGCCCGCAGGACACAGTGCAGGCAGCATGCAGGCAGGACATGCACTGTGCAGCACAGTGAGGTGCAGGCGCCCATAGGGGCTGTAGCTGCTGTTTACCTGCAGGCACTGCGGACGCTGCTGCTCGGGAACGCATCATGCGCCTTCAGCCAGGACTGGACGCGGGCACACTTCAGGTTCTGTGAGCCGCACTCTGACCTGGCCTATGCTCTGGAGGCTGAGAAGGTAATGCTGCAACATGACCCACAGCCACGCTCCTTCCTGCATTGCTCAGCAGGATGGGTGGCTTCGGTGCAGATGCTGGAGCAACTTCAGGTGGAATGGCTGCTCTGCCGCAGCAGCGGCGCAGGTGTGAGCCGGAAACACCGCGGCATTGCACGCTTGCAGCAGCTGGCTGCTGAGCAGCACAGACCTGCACTGCCCACCTCTCCCTGTGCAGCTCCTGCCTCTCACTGCCCCACCTGGAACCCAAACGGGTGCAGCCAGCATTCCAGGTGTCGCAGCCGCCCCACAGAAACCCAGCCACACATGGCACAGCATCAGAGCCACCGTGGGCACATCTCACACAGAGATTTCTTATTTTTAGGCACATCATTTATTTTCAATTTACTTTCCCATTTACCTCATGAGAAGTCATCGGCCCTCCTGAATTACTGGGGAAAGCAGAACAGCTCCCCATGGTGCAGCCAGCAGCACAGCCTGGAGCTGCGCTTTGTAGGGCTGCACCATGTGCCAGGTGAGCTCATGGGCACCACTAGCTGCTTTCTTTGTGTTTCCAGGGAGGAACGAGAGCCATTGTGATGGCTGTGCAGGCAAACATCATTAAATACCTGCTCTTCATGAGGAACACAGAACACACTCACCTGGAGAGGTAAGCAAAACCATATCCTTGCATTGTTTGGACTAACAAAACCAGCACCAGCCTCTAAGTTGTACGAGACGGAACATAACCAGGTTTGCAGCTGCAGATGGAGATCATGCCTGGCTCCCAGGCAAGGTTTTACCTTCTTTATTGATGTAGGAGTGAGGCTTGCTGCCTCAGTGCAATCTCTGGTGCCATGGTTGCAGCCCAGTGTCAGGCCCCACCTGGGGACTCAGCATCCTCAAGGATGTACCCACAACTGGTGGCTGTATGGGGCTGGGCGGGTGATGGGGACATGGGGACAGGGGCACAGGGACACAGGGACACAGACCCCTGCTGCCCCTGCCCACACCTGTCTGATGTGCTCTGCCCTGTCCCACATTGCAGACTGCACAAAATCAGCCAGAAGGAGCAAGGAGAGGCCCTGGCTGCAGCACTGGCAGACAGCCTGTGGGCAGCGGGGGACGGCCGGAGAGCCACTGTCTGCATCCTCACTGCAGCCACCCACTGCTCCCCTCCTGCAGGCTACAAAGCCGACAGCTTCACTGAGCGGGTGGGTATGGAAATGCTTCCTGCAAATATGGCTCTTAAAAGACATTTGGCCTGAACTGTCTACAGACCAGAAACAGCTCATGAGCCTGCTCCTAACTTACAGCGCATAGCACCACCTAAGGACATTGGAGCCATGTCCAGGTGGAGCTTGGCAGATGTTCCTGCCTCCTTGTGAAGGTGTGACTTCCTTGTAGAGCTGATTTGTTAAACTCTGGTCTTTCTTCTCCCTTTAGAAGAAGGAATAAGTTGACTTACAGCCTTTCCTTAACCTCTATCCGTTATCTGTTGGCATAAAACTGAACTCTGCTGTTCAGGAAGGGTCAGCGTGGGTTCCTGTGTTTGCCTTTCGTTTGTCCAAAGGAAACACTAAGCTGAAATTTCCACTTCTGGATGTACGTCCCCTTTGTGGCTCCTCACCTCACGCTCCTGCTCTACAGATCCACCTGTTCGAGTTCCCCGAGAAAGCAGCAGCTCAGGAGTTCATCTTGGACCACATTGGCTGTGTATGTATGGAGTATTATTTCAGTTCTGAGTTATTTTTCTGGTTGGCAAACAGGCAGCATTTTGTACTTGGTTTGAACAGGTTTCTTGTACCTTTAGCCCAAATCTGGAAAAACATGCAAAAATAGGTTGGTCAAGAACTGGAAGTTTCTTTTATTTCATCTGATTTTAATCAGCAAATAGCAAAGTCTTCCCAGAGTAACACCCTGTTCACTCGGCTCAGTGTATTTACCCAGCATTGCAGTTAAGCAGAGGAATTGCTTTAATTAAGCATCACACAGTTACTGTAATTTCCTCTCTGATTACTTCTTTCTTTTTTCCAGTTCAGAGATGAAGGAAGTCACGGACTGATCCTGTTTTTATACAGTTTACTTTTCTCTAGGACACTGAAAAGGTATTTTTCTTTCTAAAATTATTTTTGCCATTTTCCTCTGATGAAATTGTCCTTTTCTTCTGTTACTTCAACGCTCTGCCCTGGGCTAGTGAGGAGCAGCTGGCTGTGTGTCGAGGCGAAAGGTGCTGCTGTCATACAGCATTACTGCGTGTGCTTGTGCTGATACCACTGGGAGCAGAAAGGAGGGAGCAGCTCTGTGTGCAGCTCTGTGTGCAGCTCTGTGGGCAGCTCTGTGGGCAGCTCTGTGGGCAGCTGCAACTGCACACACAGGAGGAGCATCGCAGAGCGACAGAACACGAGCTGTCCCACAGACAGCCAGAATCATAGCCACGCTGATGAACTTACAAAAATCACAAAAGTATCACTGTGTTAGCAGAGGAAACTGATAGAATCTTTCTCAAACTGATGTAAAAGGATTTGTGCAGAGACACTGCAGATCAGCAGCTGAGCTGTGCCCGTGTCACACCCACTGCTCAGCAAAAATTGCACTGCTTCTGCAACCAGCTGCATTTGGGTCAAACCTGGGTGTAATTGAAGACTTTGACAACATTTGTACTGCAGAAGGTCTGAATCCGACTCTAAATTTGAACTTCAATAGAACAAGGCCAGAAATACAAGAGCTCAGGTGGAGCACGAGACCACTGCACTGGCATACTGCTGCCTGCCAGTGGAAAAAAAGAAAACGAAACAACTCTGTGACATTTCTTCCTGCTTTCCTTGCTGCTCACACGCGATGCTCACAGCTCCCTCCACCACTGATGTGGGACAGCAGCGCTCTGTGTTTGGCTGCGCAGGGTCGCGGAGGAGCTGGGCGGCACAGCGCCGCGGCTGTTGGAGCGCAGCTCTGGAAACGTCGCGTGCACGCAGGTAGGATCAGCCCGCTTTGCCAACGCACCTCTTACTGCTGCTGCCCTGTGTGATTCAGGACAGCACCGCCGCTTGTTCGTCGGATAAAGAGGGTGGGCTTTGCACGAGGGCCGCGGGAAGGCGGTGGGAAGGCGGTGCGGCTCCGTGCCGACGGCGGCTCCTCCCGCAGGCGGCGCTCCTGCTCGTCCTGGCGGGCCGCGCGCAGCCCGGGCGGCGCAGTGAGGTGGGCTTCCTGCGCTGGAGCGGCGAGGAGGCCGAGCGCCGCCTGGCCCCGGTGAGCCCCCCGACCCGGCCCCGCATCGCGTTGTCTGCCCTCGTGCTTTGCCTCGCCGGGCGTCCGGAGGCGAGCCTCGGGCTCCCGGCACCGACGCGGCCGTCGCATCCCTTTAGGCGAGGCTTTCCGCCGGCACGTGCCGTGCAGCTTTGCCTCCGGGCGGCGCTGAGCGCTGAGCTCCCTCCTCCATCCGCCCGCCTCCCCTGACCCCGACTTGGCGGAGGCACCTGGGGCTGGGCGCGGAGCCCCCAGGGCCACGGTGCTCTCGGGGCTGCTGGCCCGGGACCCCTGGCCAGGGCTGCTGTGGCTCATCGTCTGCCACGTGTGACCACCGCACAGATACAATAAGGGCAAATGGCCACGAGGCACAGCTGGCACAGCAGAGCCGACGCTCCTGAGAAGCACTGGCAGCGCTGAATGCCCACCGACCGTTCTGCCCCCAGGTTGGCAGCATGCTGAAAACTCCCAAGTTCCCTATCTGGCTGTGCAGCATCAACGGGACTCACAGTGTCCTCTTCAGCACCAACCGGCTGCTCCTGTCCGACTGGAAGATGGAGCACATCTTCCACCTGTATTTCTACAATGGGCAGTGCAGAACAGCCCACCTGACCATAGGTGTGTGGCCCAGCTCACCCCCCCACGGGCGCTGCGCTGTGGGTGTCATGTACAGATGTGGGCAGGACTGCACGTGTGCACAGCTCTGCATCTCCAGCCCCACACGCAGCCCGTGCTGCAGGGCACCCGCACACTGATGCATACATACAGCACACGTTTGTATTTTCCCACCCAGGAGCAAAGTGCCCCCAGGCACCCGCACTTCCCCAGAGCCCCACACACCCTCAGACCCGCATTTCACTTCCAGATACCCACTCGCATCACTGGGAAGAGGGCCGCAGCGAGGCTGCGAGCAGCCCAGGGAGGAGGGCTCCATCACTGGAGATGGCCATCAGGACCAAGTGGCCGGGGGCGGCTGTCAGATGGAATGGCATGCAGCCCTTCTTCTGAGCTGCCCCTCACCCCACCACCACCAGCACCAGCACCAGGAGCAGGGCCATCGCTGGCACAGCCACAGCCCTCAACCTGAGCCGGCGGGGAAGAGGAAACAGCATGGCAACACGGTCATTTCCTCCCAGGCAGAGATGTTTGAGAAATAAAAGCGTGTCGTGAAAGTGCTGACCACAGTGTGAAGTTAAATAATATTAAGCGCTGACAATACTGTGGGCATCACAATCATCTGGCCTGGTGTGAGCACTCAATTCCGCCGCTTGCAACAGGCGAGGTTTGCTCCCAGCCCTCCATGCCCAGCCCTCTCCTGCTGCCCATGGCAGGCACAGCCCTGACCCACAGCATCCCACAGGCAGCCCGGTGCTGCTTCCACCGTGCAGGCCATGCACACCAACATGTTACAAACTGTTCTCTGCTTCCTTTTTTAGACCTCATCTGAAAAAGCTGTTAGTCGTACCAAAAATGTGTGCTGTAATGACAGCTGTCTTGAGAATAAACCTTCCTGCGAGCAACCCACAGATTCAGACCCCTGGATGAAAAAAAGGAAAAAAAAGAGGGTGGTCAGAACCAGCCTGTGATGGTGCTGGATGGGGCCATGAGCCGGCAGGGCTCTGCACTGCTCCCTGCTCCCCTTCTGCAGTTTCTGCTCAGGTCACAGCTCTGCCACCGCCCCAAGTGTGCCACATCCCTGCAGCAGAGCAGAGGGCACTGCAGCCCCTGGTACCCGCAGTCCCCAGGGCCACCACTACCAGAGTGCAGCCTGCCCGGCACAGAGCTGCGGGGCCGGGACCCTGGGGCATCATGCAGAGGCATAAGGCAGGGCAAGCTGCAGCCCGGTGCCCACCAGCAGGTCACAGCCCGGTGCCCACCAGCAGGCTGTCCCTGCCAGGGCCGTGCAATGGTGGCTGTAGCAGGACAGGCAGAGCCGGGGCAGGGCAGGCAGGGCCCCGGTGAGTCACATCTGGTGCACAGTGCTGCCATGTGTGGGGAGGAAGCACACCACAGCCCAGGGCAGCCTAGGGTGGTTTCTAAGGCAGGTCAGCTTATTCATGCTTGAGAAGACCTTGACAAGGTAAGGAAGTCAGTGTTCATGCTAAACAGAGCATACTTATTCTACCTGAGGAATACTGGCATGTGCTCACACAAACAGTGGATTAATACAGCACAGAGCTGTGAAATAGATGCCAATCAGGCTTGGCTAACCAGCACTGAGGGGCGTGCTGCACGGCCAGGCATGCTGTGTGGTAGTGCCAACTAAATGGGTTCCCATGAAGGTACAAAGGTGCCAAAGAACAGCATTCAGAGCTGTGTTCCAGGCCAGTGCAGCAGCTGCCCGCTGGCACACCAGCAGTGGTCAGAGCACAGCTGGCAGCACTGGGCCCCAATGCCACGTCCTGCACACACAGCTGCAACGAATGCATGCATGGTTTCTAAAGAAAGAATCAGGAACAGAAATGTGCTGCACCAGACTGCGGAAGCAGCTCCACTGCCTCCCTCGGGGCTTCACCCTTCCTCCCCCTGCCCCCTGCCTGTTATAACCTCTGTGCAGTGCAAGGCTAAATTTAAGATGCAAGTTCCCCTCAGTGAGAAGGAAGCCCTTTCTGCAACCTAACAGCACACTTACAGATGCTTTAAAAATAAGAAGCAATAATAGCAGTCTGGCTGTTGGTTAAACTTAGACAGAAAAAGCAAACAAACAAAACACAGAAGAAAGAGAAGAGAGCTCAGCAGCTCCTTGCAGGGCCCTGCATTCATAACAGATCTCAGCTGCAGATTTTCCTTTCTCGCCCAGAAATATCTTCGCAGAAGATGCACAGACCTGGCACAGCCCACACACCGGGGTGCTTTGGACACATGAGGATAGGTGGGGTGGGAGCTGCCTAAGAAACTGCCTGAACCTCAGTGAGGCACGTGGGAAACAAACCCAGACATGTGGATGAAACTCATAGCACAGCATGGCACCTCATGTGAGTCAGCCTCAGAGACAGCGAGTATAGGAGCCTCATGGCAAGCTGCAGCACTGCACCTGGGAGGGAGAGGGGCACCAAGAAAAGGGATTCCCTTTCAGAAACGGCTTCTGAGTGCCCTGCGGGGCCTCCGGAGAGCTTTGCCCGTACCTCCTGCACACAGCAAAGTATCCCAGCACCGCCGCTGCTCCCCTCGCAGCCCACCCTTCTCCTCCCATCCCCAGGAGCTCTGGAGAGTGGTGGGAGCACTGCCCAGCTTCAGGGTCCTGCCCACCCTCAGGGCCGTGCCGATACTTTCAGGTGCTGGGTTTGTGGGACTCGGATATCAGAATACAGCAGACTGTTATCAGATATTTATTGCTGCCCCTCCTAGTCTCAAAATGGCTTTACAAACTGCAAGGATCACTCTCCATAATTCCTCAGAGTACAAAACCAAATGTATCAGACAATAGCTGTATGTTTTTCTCCCTTTTTTAGTGTGCTCTGAGCCTGACTGTATATGGAGGGCAGATTTTTTAAACCACAATTAAAAAGCCAATGCCTGTACACAAAACAAGAACTGCACCACGTGGGCAGTGATGCCCCCGCAGCAGCCCCAGCCCCTCCGAGGCTCTTTGCTCCACACCCTGGCTCTGCAGAGCACCCCTCTGCTGGAAGCACAACTGCTGGGCAGGGTGCACGAAACCCAGGCACGTGCCCGACAGCTTCGTGTGTGTTGCTGCTGTACATTTAACTGCAGGCTCTAGAGTGATAAAAAGAGTGGAATAGCCACATTCTAGCACATAAATATATATATATAATAAATTATTTTAAAATTACTCTGTGGAAAGTGCAGGAAAAGAAGAAACACCCTTTTTTTTTTTTTTTTTTGTATAAACCTCCACCCTGCTCCAGTCCGTTTGTGAAAAGGCCGCTGTTTGCTCTTTCCCGTACCACAGAACGCACAGCAGATCACAAAACAAGCAGGACGATTCTTCCCTGGGTAAAAATCAAGAAACTTTCAGAAAGTCAGGGGCTGGGGGAAGCTTAATGAACGGTGACCAGAACACCACAGTTGAAACTCCAGCGTGTGCGCACAAGATCTTTTGCTTTGAAGCAAAAAGACACACTGTGCCGGGGACCCCGCAGCCCCACGTGGGTTCCTCCCAGGCCGGACAGGACAAGCACACATTGCCACAATCAGAAACTGCTGACTTCTGTCTGCCCCACTCCGCTGTTTCGCTCCATTTGTTTGGGGCGGGGGTCAGAAAAGGCCTCGGCGCCCCAGGATGAAGAGAGAACCTTGGGGCCCCTTCATTCTCAAAGCTCCAAAGAAGCACTTCCACACCTATGGCAAAGACTCTCAAGAAAGAACGACGCACAGAAAGCTTCTGAAGTCTGAATGGCTCTGCAGCCCTTGTCAGCCATGTAACTCTAGAGGATGGAGCACGGCTGGAGCCGCCCCAGGTGCAAGCTCACCCCACACCACGGCTCATTTTGGCCTCTCCATGCACACGACTTCAGTGCGTCTGAATGCACTGTGCATTGCTGAGTGGTTTCTCCAAGTACCAAAGGAAAAATAAAAGCAGAACTGCAGACAAGGGATTGTTCTCTGGTACCTCGGGCTGCGTCATGCAAGGCTCATTGGTGTTTCACAAGGAAGAGAAAAGGGGAATTCCGCTAACACTGCACCTTGTTTAACGCGAGCGTGAGCAGTGCCTTAATGGAACTCCTCACAGGGCCCGCAGCCACCAGTGAGTCACAGACTGCGCGCGCCCGAGGAGCGATAACAGCACCATTCTGGGAAGTGCTGCCACACCTCGGAGGAAAGCATTGCTCATTTAAGGACAAGAAGAGTCAAGTCACAAGCAGAACTCTTGGGAAAACGCTGTATGTCATCTGCCCGATTCGCTGACGGGAAATAATCTCCAACCACAGCCCTGCTCATGGCCGCCCCGTCCGCTGAGCTGCTCAGCGGCACCACGCAGCGCTTTGCGCGCCCGGAACCGCATCCAAGCCCCGCAAGGACAGCGTGCAAGCACAGCAGCCGGCACGGCAGCACGCAGCTACAGCCCCGGCGCTGCCTTCTTCAGCCCTGCGGGCAAATGAAAGGGGCGCGGGGACATCCCCATCCTCGGGCTGTCCTCACTTCTCCACCGTTACCAAAACAGAATTAAAGCGGTGTTTTATTGTCAACGTTCTTTTACGCGGGGGATGAAAACGGCCCCACTTCTTCTACCCGACCTCCACCCCTAAGCAGCGCCGCAGCGCCTGCCACGGCGTTCTCGTCCGCGCACCGTTCCCGCACGGACCCATCTCTCATCGCTCCGTCTCGGTTCGGCTCCCCGCACCGCTCTCACGCACGCGTACGGGGAACCGCGCCGCTCCGCCACCGCTCGCGCTCAGCACGGCGGCTCAGCGCTCCGCACGAGGGCCGGCGCGGGCTGGCCGGGTTCGGGCCCGCGGCCAGGCGGGTAACGGCCCCCGTGGGCTTCCTCGGCCCCGCGGGGCGTCAGCGCCACCGGCGCCCGCTCCTCCCGGCGCGGCCGGACCCGGAGCACCGCATTCGGTTACCGCAACCCCGGGACGGTGCCGCCGCGCCGCATTGCCGTCCGGCAGCGCGGGGTGACGGGCGGGGAGCGCGGCGCGGAGCCCCGGCACGGGCCGCCGCCGACCGCCCCCGGGGCGCGCCCGCTCCGTCCCGGCACCGCCCATCCATGCCGGTCCGCAGCCCCCGCCGCCCCGCACCGCTCCCCGCCCGCGGAGCCGCCCCGCC